TTCACCGCATTTACTTATAGGCAACTGTTATGTACGACGATAAACGTATTGTTCTGATCCTTAAGGTGAACACGCTAAAATATAGTTTTATATGAAATTATGCAACCCACAGTGTTCTTAATATTTAAAACATTATATCTGGCTTGAAGGATTGAGCCCACCGATGAAAAGAATCTTGCAGAACACAGCACAAAATCTATTTGACTGGTAATTTACTGCTTGGGTAGGATTTCTTACCCTTGGAGTCAGATAGCAATACTACGGGTTTCCCAGACATCATCACGGGAAATCAACGGCCCTTGTGAACCAAGAACGGATTTTCCACATTGTGACTACATTACTATCACGGCGATGATGAATCCTGATACACGATTACTCTTAGCTGCACATCTAGACGGAGGTGTCGATCTCATTCTCAACGTGGTCTTTTCGAGGTGTCGACTTTGTTTTTAACGTAGCCTTTCCTGGTAGCCGTTAAACTCTTGAACACCCAAGCACATCTCCCAGCTATGATAATGCAGTATACCATTGGGGAATAAAGCGTTGTACTGTAGGGAATACTATCGACTCCTTATATATGCGTTTTAGTTTCATCGCCTTTAACCGGACTGATCACCAAGTGACTCGATCAGATATTAAAAAATTTTCGTCATTTCTATCACTGACTGGATTTCCTATGTTCTTATCGCACGATGGACACTAATGTCATGCTTTCGATAAAAGGACAAAGGATAAAGCTCTCGGCTTTTATCAATCCCTGAAGAATGCGCCATTCACTCGACTTCATTAGGGATCGTTTGTAGGTGACTGAATGCATATCTGGCCTTTATAGTGTCGTGGTGCTCTACCGATGTATCGCGCCAGTGTTGGTATCTTCCCAGACGAGTCTGGTAGCAATTCGCCGACCTCGAAAGGATGGAAGGCTTGGTGATTCTGGGGTGCGGAGATCGATGCCATGTTTTCGATAAGAAAACTATTACTTCCATCGTTCCTTGCGAAGAGTATCCACTATGGGCAGTTCACCAGGCTCTACCATAGCATGAGTTTAGTCTTAGCTGGAATTCCGTATGGAAATGCCCAACTACTCGGCATTGGTGATCATGCTAACGGATGAACTTCCTTCTATGTCGCCAGTTGAACATTCAAGAAGTCATTCTAATGGATAATTACTTGAACACTCGGACGGCCCGTCCTCACTAGTTGTGCGGGCCCCAGCATAATCTTCATTTTCGGAGTTTTTTGGCTTAGGTACTGTGTCTCCCTTTGGTTCCGAGGTCAGCCTAGCCAAAGTTTTCTCTAGGTCGTGACCACCACAGGCAGTCGCAGCCCTCGTAGATCAGAGGAGATTTGCCGCCATACGACTAGTTTGAGATCAGGACGGTGGTGGATCCTGGTATCGGTTTACTCCTAGCTAGGCTTCCTGATGGAAAAGCCGGACTCGTTCTCTGCTTGGGAGACTTCCAAGGGGATGAACCCCCATGCTGTACATCGCAACCCGACACAAGAGCACCTCCCAGCCATTATGAGGCGGTAAACCATTGGGAGGGTCATTCTAATAAAGAACTATTAAAATAACATAAAACGAAATAGAGAAAAATCACAATGGATCGCGGATTTTAAAAGAGATATGTTTAGACTGCAAACGAATATCATAGCTTAATTCCTATAGACGACACATTAGAGCATTGGCGTGATGCTATATTGAAGCACAGGTTATATCGACAAGAAGCTGTCAGGTAGACCGCTAAGATTGGATGAAGTTAAAAATTTATCCACACTAAGGCAGAAAAAGTCTTGAAAAAAATTTAAGACAATAAGACTGTTGGTTAACGATGCAGATTTAAGGCTTTGGTTATGGTAGATGCAGATTGTAAAAACATGAACGTTGGCTTCTAACGCTGAATTTGGCCTGAACCTAATTTTTACTTATGAGTTGTTAATATTTTTTCATGGTCGACTATAGATGATGATGACCCTGGTGTAGGTGACTAGGGTGTGCCGTTACATAGACATATTTCCTCATAGCTTTGATTCCGGGTGAAAATGTGAAATTAAGCAACTAACCCTTATTTAACTAATTTCTTAGTTAATCCCTTAACCAGATGAACGCCATAGGAGCCTGTTGAACAACAACTCACTGTATATCACTATTAGACACTAACTAACACTTTATTAACAACTCCTTAAACTCTTTAACTTAACAACTTTAACAATCCTTAATAAACTTTAAGACTTTAACTTTAAGAGCTCTTTAAAATTAATAAACGCCCTACACCCAGATAAACATTAGAGAGGAATCCTGAACAGCAACTCATTGTACATCTCTTTAAGACACCAACTAAAACTCTCTCGCAAGTAGAAGAGTAGGTGTAGATGAAGGCTTCGATAAAAATAAAAAGAAACTACCATAAGTTTCCATGAGCTTGCATTACGATTACTTTTACGCAGTTTTAGACTTCTTAACACAGGAAAGAAGCTACCGGTCTTTTTTTTTTTTGTAAATGGCTTTATTGTTTGACTCGTCTTCTCGTATTTCAGTAAAGGAAGTCAGCAGGATACCAATAACACACTAGAAGTAAACACTCCAAGGTCTTTTTATTCCATTGTTATAAGCCATCTAACGATTTTTTGCTGGGAATCCTATGGACCTTGTAAATTGAACATCTTTAAAAAAAATGATTTCAGTGAGGATAAAGTCTGGGAAACACAAACGTATAATAAACTATTTGATGAAGTTCATCGTAAGTACCATTCTTTATTTTTTTTCTTTAAAGTGAACAGTGTTGCTTCCGAGTAAAAAAATTTTTCAAGAATGAGAATTTAACCACAATGATACTAAGATATTCGCAAAACTGCGGACCGCAGGTGTGTGTGCTGAGGATCGAACCTCTTACTACGCTTTCCGGGGGATAACTTGTTAATTAACAGTCCTTTGAAAACATCTCTGGTAAAATTGTACAAGGCAGTAAATAAAAAGTCAACATAATGGAAATTTAGTTGGTACATTCGTGACGACGCTCGGTTTTTCTTTGGTAAGAGAAGGAAGAGGCGTAATTTCTAGGTTATAAGGAGTTGCGACTTTTTTTAACAATCAAGAATGTTTTTCAACGTTCAATAGCAAGGGTGTTCATGAAAAACTAGAGAGTGAGTTTGGGATTGTGAACATGATAGGGTTGTAGGAGAGATCTTGCTGTATTTTTCAATGGGCCATAAATGGTGTGTGTAAAATTATTTACTATGTGTTACAATACTTCACTGTGCACACATTCTTGTCAGCACTAGGAACTGTTGTACCACTTATGCTATCTTTATGAGGGTAACTTCTTTATGAGTTTTACTTACTTGAACACTTCGACGGATCGTCTTCACGAGCAGTACAGACTCCAGTACATTTTCTATTCCTTTCTTTGCCTCTCAATCGTCATCCATGATGGTGGTTTGATTTGACCATAGTAACGTGTGCAATCTGCAAAGCATCTGAAGCTGCGAATTTGGCCGATTAAGTTTAGTTACAAACAAGTTCGTCAAACATATAGACAGTCATTATAGGTTGCCTTTGCATCCACGTAGAGTCCACTATGCAGTTCTTCGCCCATCCGTGGTCTGTTTTTCTTATTACATGACCGGCTCATGTATGTTTCGGTATCGACGTGTGTTCTCCAGGATCTCGAAGATGAGAAAGATTTCGGAGATCGAGGCTACGCATAATGGCTAGATGTTGTGTGTGCCGGTTACATTCCAGAAGACATCGTCCAAGCGCTCTATGAGTAGTGCGCAGTATTCCAGACGTGGTTGAAGTATCAACCGGCGTCTCTGTTGCATAACAGTGCGCTGGAAGGAACTTTGAGTCGAACAAGTGAGGACGGAGTTTCGGATCCGCTAAATAGTCGGTGTCTTGTTTGAAGGTCAAGTTCAGTTTAAATAACATGTTCCAGTCAACTGTTAGCACGGCTGACCGATAGAATCGCTGCCGAAACAAAAATTCCTTCAGATCCACATCGTGGTGAGGACTGAAAACAGGCTATCAAGATTAAGTCAGGACGCTAGTTAAGAACAATTGCCCAAACAACAAGAGACGAGCCTCAGTACCTACACAATCCATAGAATGACTATGATTCATTGCATCGATTAGAATTGAAATAATAGTAAGTGGTGCTATGAAGTAACCAGTCAGTGAACTCCTTCCAAATGGTTTTTCGTACACTTACACGAGCAGTATAGAGTTTTTCCCTGTCTACGCCTACCATTTATGTTGCGTAAGCCTCGTAAGACGTGTAGAAGCAGCCTTGTACCCCAAAATAAACAACTGGAAAGAAAAAGATCTCTATAGAAGTCAAACCAGTCATAACAGCCCTATAAGAAAGTGACTTCTATGGAGGTTACGTCGTCACAAATCTGTTAAAGAGACTCCATAATGAGGCCATAGTTTTGGAAATATTTGCGCAGATCCTAAAGAAACAATCGGAAAGCCTTGCCTCGAAAATAGTACAAAAAATAGAGTAGAATCACTTCAAGTTTAAAACCATACAAACCATACCTTTGCTATAGGTTTACAATTTAGCACTGTGGTATCAAAACATCAAAAATGCTACCATATTTAAGAAAAATCGAAAAAAGACAAGCCCATCACTGATTTCCTTAAATATTGCGCAAGAGAACACCTCTGTGTTATTATTGGGCTACCATCTGAAGAACATCCTGGAAAAATCAGAAGTTCGATTGGACTCATTCATTTGGTAGAGACGAAGAACGCTACGTCTTTCTTATCGCGAACTCATCGTAAGGTAGAGTTCACATCGCTCAACTGTGAGGTTGGTCTACCTGAAAAGTGAAAATCTCTTGACTTTCATTTTCATAGTGTTCTCGTGTGGATAGATGGTTGTTGCACCGTACTCCACTTATGCCCGATGAGCATAAATCTACAAAGAAAACCACAACATTTCTAGTGATGGTCATGGTAGAGGTGTTTTCGCAGTGGTGTTTATCCTTCTGTTTTTCAGAAATGCAAGGTTTAACATTAGAAGTGCTTGAAAAACTCGCAAAAACGTACGAGGAGATGCAAAAAACCAATGAAGAATTAAAAAATTCGCTGAAAATTATTAAAGTGAGTGTAATGGCTTAAACTTTATGAATACCGCAAGGTGTGTTTTTTGGTCCAATCAAAATATTCGAAAACACTCAACTGAAAAACTTCGGGTAATCTATCAACCACTGAAATCTATAACCTATTAACCGTTGAAAATCGAACAATCTATTAACCTTACTTGGATACTTGGATGGCTGTTCTTCACCAGTTGTGCGGTCCACAGCATAATTTCTATTTTCCGGAGTTTTGCTGGTTTAGCCATTGTGGCTCTCTGGAGTTCCTGAGGTTAGCCTAGCTAAAGTCTGCCCCATGTCACCACCACAAGCAGTCGCCGCTCATGTGGATCAGAGGGAGATTTGCCACCGTGCGGCTAATTTAATACCAGGACGGTGGTAGATTCCGGCATTGGTTTACTCTTAGCTGGGCTTCCTGGGTCGAAACTCCGCATTCCTTCTCAGCATAGGAGACCCTGTTGGGAGTAAGAATCCACCAGCTCTCAGTAACACCTCCCAGTCATTATAAAGGCGGTAAACCTTTAGGAGGATCTTATTTTAATTTTAATCTTATTTTATTTGACCCATCTTCACGTCTACCGTGCGGATCCTAGCACTTATCACATTCAATTCGTTTCGACGCATCCATTGTCCACGAAGAACTTCCAACTTTACCGTGTGGCTTCGGTTGCTGATTGAAGATTTTCATTTCATCTTGAATGCTGGTTGAACCATTCTCCCTGGAGTCCTGAGATAGCCGAGCTGGAGCGTTGTCAATTGGATTGCAGAGAGCGATTTTTTTCCCAGAGAAGTCCGTCACCAATCTCCCTAACCCGGCGGAATGAGAGACTTGGTTGGTCTGGAGCGGAATCGAACTACCACCATACTCGTGTTGACGGACATCTCTACCACTGTGCTATCTGCGCCTGTTGGGAGGGTCCAGTAACCTTAAGTCTAATTAATTGGATTTCACCTTTCAATGACAGAGAGACTTATTCGGCAATTATCAGAATTGTACTTTTCATTAATGAACGCATTCCGAACGTAAAAGAAGATGAGTTTTATCATAAGAATACAGTCAACATTTTCCTTCTTAACTTCTTACAACATGTTATAAAGGTCATGAAAATTTGCATCCTGGTGCAGGATTTTTTTCTTCCAGCTATTTTCCTATCAGTCGAATTCCCATGTTCTTTGCTGAATGCTTAGTGGTCCAATGACCGTATCTATTTTAAGGAAGCTCTAACCAAGCCATCAACGATGACGGAGACGAAATCAGGTTGGGCAAGTGACACGACGTTGAGAACACCGCCCAAGGATCAGCTAGTGGCACAGCCAAATGGAACGGCACAGGCCACAAAATCCGTGCCTACCACCACTGCAGAAACAACGACCACTCCAGAAACGCAAACAGATTTGAAGCAGCCTGGTACTTAACTTTCCATTTACAAACTATACTATAACCGTATGACTGTTTTGCAAACGTGTAGAGTTCTCTAGTGGCTAAAATCCCTCGTAACCATCGAAGTATATGGTAAAGACGGAATATCAAGATGTTCGGGAAGGTCATCAAATTCGTTAATGCAGTTAGGTGCACTGTTTTCACTCAATTTGAATTCCGAACCGTTTGCTTCATCGGATGCTTTGAAAACAATGACCATCTAGAGTTAGAAAACTAGTTATTTTTGAAAATTTGTTAGCAATTTGCAGTAATGGTCCACAAAGCATCCTTGTTAGACTATTAACTAGGCACTACTAATCAAGCAATAGCTGCGAATATTTTTTATAACAATTTTTGAAGTTCTGTTCTACGTTTTCAACAGAAGAGGAACACTATACCCTCAGTTTAACTGGGTTCATTGCCGATTTGAGCTCCCCAGATCAATCCCGCCGACGGGTGATTGCTGATGGCCGAAATCGATAGAACTAGATGATCGAGGCGAAACGAAAGACCCGCATGGTGTGATGGTGAACGCGTTACTCCCCGGAAAGGACAACAGCGCGTTCGTTCCCCACCGCATACACCTGCGGTCCGGACTTTTGCAAATATCTCAGCATCATTGAAATTAAAAATTAGCCTTTATTATCTTTACAAAGAATTGCGATGGCATACCGATGTATCGAGCCGGTGTTGCTATCCTCACAGACAAGTCTGGTCCCAACTAGCCGACCCCAGAGGGATGGAAGGCTTGATGGGCCTGGGACGAGGGGATCGATCCTACGTGTGCATCGCAGGGCGCCTCCGACCACTGCGCCGCACACACCACTGCGAGCTAACATAGATAGATACCCAGTTCCTTCACATTTCCATGTATCCTTGGTAAGTGTTGGATTTTGATCACTAGTTCTGCACAACAACTCGATCGAAAATTTCAGAGGCATCTGATTCTGAAGACAATGAAGTTCAAAAAGGGTCAAAATCCGCTGTACAAAAGAATAAGAAGGTCTAAATTATTTTCAGAGTAACAAGCAGATACATAACTGAATAACACTCAATAAATAATATTTTGTTCTATTTACTAGCTTACACGATGTTGCTATACAGTGTCCCGACCACCACGAATTCTTCAGGGCCACGATGATTCGAGTCGATTGTCCATATCAGTTCGTTCGTATTCAGTGAATATACTTTTAAATTACTACTAAAATATACCACATCGATGAACAGTAAAGGAACTATTAACTGCGAACCTATGCGATAATGTCATAGTTCACCATCTCTCCATTAGCAATTTTCTTTTTTACTTCAAACGACCTATCTTCACATCTACCGCCTCCATCTCGGTACTCCCCACATTCGATTCGTATCCTCGCACCCATCGTCCAAAAAAGATCCTCCGACTTTACGTGTGGCAACGGTAAAGTTTTGAATGTCGTAGAATGCTGGTCGAGTCGATTATTACAGAAGTCCTGAGATTGTCGATTAAGAGCTTTCCCAACTGCAGAGAGTGATTTATTTCGCGGACAAGTCAGTTACGAACTTCCCGACCACAGAGGAATTGGTGAGCCTGCAGCGGGATCGAACCAGTACCGTGCTTATGGTGACCGGCATCACTAGCACTGTGCCATTTGCCCCTAATTAGAGATCGAAGAATGTAAATTTCCGTATAAATACATTAGTTGGTGATCCCCATGAGACGAGACTACGAATGGCGTCATAAATATGGAGCTTCATGCGTTTACTCTTCTGACCAACTTATTGACTTGTTTGGCAGTTTTTGTCAGAGTCTCTAACGGTCCAGTTTATTCCAGAAGTTCAGTTCGTATCCACCAGTTACTAATGTTGCAAAAGAGAAATTCCTTATGGCAATTCTAATTCCATGCACTGGAGGGTGGTGCACTAAAAAGGTGTAAACAAGAATCAAACCATCTCATCTCAATAAGTCACGTACGGAGAATTTAAGGTGGAGTTTAGCGCAATGGTTAGAGGTGTGCCAACACAGACATAGTTCGATCCTGCGCCTCAGGCTCACCAAGCCCTCGACTCCTCTGCGGTCGGCAAATTGGTGCCAAACTTGTTTGGAAGCATAGCAGCGCTGACTGGATACATCGGTGAGCCACCACCGCCATTTTAAAGGCCAAATACGCACTCAGTCATCTCCAACGACGCTTAATGAAGTCCAGTATACGGCGCATCCCTCACGGATTGATTAGCGCCGAGAGCTTTATGCTTCTATGCGTAATCCACCTACCCGCTTGAGTCCTCATACAGTTCAGTCGACTCCCACAGTGCCTCATTGTGCATCACGGTCCCTCCACCCATGACCGATTGACCACATTCGTCACCGTGGCGCGAAATTCGTCCACTCAAATCTCTCGCGCGTGCGTGTCGCGTTCCGTGCGACGGGACGCCGGACGCATTGATTCGTTGCGTTTCGTTGCAACAGGACGTCGATTTCCGCTTGTCTCCGAGTTGTCTGGTGTTCCCTTCCATCTTCTTGCTCAGTTGTTGAAGAACTTGGTCGTGTTGTTTAAATGAACCATCTGGTATTTCAGTACGACGATGTCCTTGATTAATATGTCGCTCGAGGAGATTATTGGCAAGAACAAGGTGACTTTAGTCGGATTGATTTGATTGATCGGTTTTCATTGCATTTCTCGTATTCGTATAAGATTTTGGTTCCAGAAGTCGAAGTCTGGAAGGCTTGTTGGTGGCTTTCGCAGCGACGTTGTGCACAAGACAAGTGCCGTGAAAATTGGCGGAACGCGTAGTTTTGGGAGATTCTCTGACGTATGTTTCCTGCAGTTGAAATGTGCTTGATAATGAATAGAAGGAAGTAAGAAATAGAAAAGGATAAAACTCTCGGCGTTGATCAATCTCTGTGGGACGCGCCATGGGTTCTACTTCATTAAGAATCGTTGGAAGTGTTTGAATGCACAGTTGGCCTCTACAATGATTCGCTATTGAGCCAGTGCTGCTATCCTCCCAGACAAGTTTGGTACCAATTTGCCGACATCCGAGGGATTGAACGCTTGGCCGGGCAGGGGCGCGGTGATCAATTCCACGTGTGTGTTGCAGGGCGTCTTCGACCACTGCGCCACACGCACCCATAACGGATAAAAAGAAGTAGCTCCTTAGGGTGAGTGAACTTCCACCAAATTGATGTGCTCTACGTTTCTACGCTTTTTAAGGGTTTCGAAAGTTCCTCACCAGTTAGGCGGTTTCTATGTATATTTGTAAACCACGAATCCTGTGTACTTTTAGTTATTCTACGGTTAGATTGAACGTTATACGTTCTTATTATCAGTAAGAACTTCCATTATTAGCAGTAAGAGCTTCCATTCCTATCAGTCCGTCACTAGGACGGTCTGACGTCAGTGTATTCTATGGTTCCATTAGCTCAATAGGAGTCATGAAGGGCATCATATTTTTATCACAATGGTAATTTTCTACTTTTGACTACGGTTCAGCCATAACTAGGGTTGATGAACTCAGCCATGTTATAATTCTTTCATATGAAAACGTGGAACTCTATATTTGAGGAAGAAACATGAACGGTTCATATTTCATGCTTTTGACCATCGTATTGATAGTGAAAGGCTTGTTGGAGTTATAAGCAGTAGTTTTTCTTTTGACTTTTAATGATCTATAAATAGAAACCGAGATGATTAACACTCATATGAAATTTCTGTTTTCAGCGAACTCCTGCAGGAAAGTGGAAACATGACAAGTTCCAAGACGATAGCCGAGCTTTCCGTGTTAGAGGAGGAGCGATCGCCAAAGTGGTCGCCGGGTCGAGCAATCCCAACAAGAAAGTGCGCGTCAATTTGTCAAATCTAGGACCAAACGTCGTCTCTGCTGATCTTGAGGTGCCTCGATCTCGATTCTTTCGACGACCATCCGCATCGCTCCATGTGTGGACTAGCGAAGCTCGTCCTTAGCCGTCGGTCACGCCTTTTTTGGATATCGACGGCAGTTTGCTTCTGTTGCGGCGAACTTCGGTTCCTGACGCGTTTCTGTGGCAGACTGACGTCTTCTCTTTTCTGCTGTGATGGTAACCGCTGATGGGCATCGAAAGGAACTCGTCTGAGCGTCGTAAGTTGTTTGCGTTTAACTACCTGTGCTATTTCAGGAACTCTTCTCTCCATACAATATCGAAAGTGCAACGGTTCATTTCAACGAGCAAGGTTTATCACTGGGTACTGGGGACGTTTTTCTGAAGAGGAAGGATGCACTGCAAATGTTCGAAGACTTTAAAGGCGTCTCTCTTGACGGTATGTTCAGCATCGAAGACGTATATGTTCATGGGCAAAAATTCTAGGCAGTACTGCGCAGTGTGGTCAATGTTTTATTTAGAGTATAGTATGATTTAAAAAACAATAAAGCTCTTGATATAAATCAGCATCTGAGGGATTCGCCATATGTTCGACTTCATTAAGCGTCGTTGGAGGTGGTTGAATGCATATCTGGCCTTTACAATGCAGTACTTGCGGTAGTCTACCGATGTTTCGAACCAGTGCAACTAACCTCCCAGACTAGTACCAATTTGCTGACTCCAAATAGAAGGGGAGCTTGGTGAACCTGGGGTGCCGGGATCGATCCCATGTGTATTGCAAGGCGCAACCGACCACTGCGTTACATGCGCCGCTATGATGTAAATAGTATTGCCAAATGAATTGCGCGCCTAGTGGTCTGAAATTGGTTGACATTTCGGAATCGCAATAAACTCTCTTTTTTTGTAGTGTTATGTATAGTCGTGTATCGATATCTGCGTTTCAAAAAATTGGGTGCAGTTTGCTGATTACAACGTATTTTGGTAATTTCCCTATAATGCGATTTTGTTTTCACTAATGTTTTTTCCAGGTAAATTGATAAAGATGTTAATTGTTGATGGAGGAGAAGGGGTAGCTAATGGAATTGAAAGTCGTCTCAGTAAACTACCTCGTCAACGTGGTGTGCAGAAAAAATACAAGTGAGTTTAGCGCAGGTACACTTGGCTCAGCCAAACGCCCCTGTTTTATCGCTGCTGGTTGTTTAGGAGGAGTCCAGTTCGTGCTTCATCGTTTCTTGACCGTATTGTCGATGATAAACCGAGAAGAAGTGGACGTAGGGCATTTGGAAGACGTGACAGGAAACCACAGAAGACAGTAGCTGAGTTAGATGCTGAGTTGGACTCCTACATGAAAAAGGGAAGACCCATGGATCTGTGAATTTTCGTGTTGTATTACAATGTTATGTATTATCTCATTCGTATCAGTTTAATTTTCAAGTGACACGCACTGGCGTCCAGATCTTTCCAACCATTCATTCGCATCTTAGCAATTGTTGCTTTGCGGTGTTAATCTGTTGATAATCTTTTTTTCTTTGATCGTTGCTGTGAAATTTTGTTTATACGTATTCAAGATTGTTAAGTAAACCACTTATTCGGAATTTCGTATCCAGTGAGTCTTAATAAGAATGTTTTCTACGTAGGTGCAGAGATATCGATCATTCCGGGCAGCTGTCGTGGTTTTTCTGAAATTGGTGAGGTAATCGATGTTAGGAGTAGCATCGTTGTGTTGCATTTCTCACTTTCAAACGAAATGAGGGAGTGGTGCAGTACACTTGTTTTTGAGTGGGGTAGTGGTACTGCTTTGAAATTAACCACTTGTGAATGGGACAGAAAAACGTGTGTACCTTGAGATCTGTGAGAAAAATCGTGTTCATCAACGGAGATGATACGTGACGACTCATCTGAACGAGAAGGAAGTAGTGTAGGGAAGTGTTCACCATCCAATTCGCTTGATGACGACCTTGAATGACCTTCCAAGGGTTCGATTTGCTCCTCCGTTAACCATGGTCGTGGCAGGAAGCCATCTAAATAGTTGGTTTAGGGACGACTGCATAGTTTCTGCAAGTTGAAAAGCGGTAGTAGCTGATATCTACAAGAATTATAGTGAGTAGGACTGTTAGAAAGGCTGCAGTTCAATCCGAAGAATTGCCTGACATTTAGGGAAGTGTCCAAAGTCATACTGCCATCATGGAATGTTCAATCATTGGTTTATTGCTCATGAAAATGTGTGGTGAAGTACTCTACCCATCAACATTTTTGAGTTGCCTTACAACTGATGGAAGTGATAGAGAGCATGCACACGTGTAGAGATCTGCAAATTGCTGTCGTTAGGAGTAATCTAAGGTATGTTCCAGCCAAATTCGAGAAACTCTGGACCTTCTGGAAACTGTGATCGAGGTGCTGATTCCTGTGTACGGATTTTCTTTCCAGGTGTCTTTTTCTGTCTGCTTTCACTCAAACTGAAGACCATGTTAGATCGTACTTAGTCAGTGGATTCATTGATGAAGTCGGACAGCGTTGTTCATAGTTCACTGTGTTGTCAGATCGACATCGTTCATAATTTTTTCAATGAAACTGGCTTTAAGGACGGACAATGAGAAAAAGTTCAATGTTATGCTCGTCACTAAACCGATTCACAAACGTGTTTACCATGTGACGAACACTAGTAGTCGACCTTGTCGATTCAGTGACATCAGACTTCCACCACCAGTTCTACCGTATGGTGTCCGATTGGATGATAAGAAAACGAAAGTGGTTTCTATGTTATCCTACCAGTTTTTCTCTTGGGACCATTACGTCCAAATAACATCCTTGACGAATCATCTTGTCAGAATTCTGGATTCCACTATTTACATGGACTTTTTTGAGAATGATTTATAAGTTATGGCTTAGAGCAAGGCAGAACGAGAACCTCAGCAGTGCCGTTCCTAACACGTGATCCCCTGGAAACGGTAATCGTGGTTTGATCTGGCCTGGAGCACAAGTTTTTGAAAATACCACAACATCATTATGGTTGTATTTCACATAATAACCTGCCGTGAAAAAGAAATATAAGGCGGTAGATAAAAAAGCTATAATGTAATCACCTTTTATTTATTGCCTGTTCTTTCTTCATGACAGGGTATGATATGAAACACAACTACAATGGTGCCGAGATATTTGCAAAACTCCGGACCGCGGGTGTCCACGGCGGGAATCGAACCTCGTCATTACCTTTCCCTGGGGCTCACGTGTTCGGCACCACGCCATGTGTGGCATTCGTTTCACCTTTCTCTCAACCTTATTTTATAAAAGTTCAAAAAAGTTATACAACATAAGTTATGAAGTAAGAAAATTACAAATGCGACACGACAAAGAGTTAAATTCTGTTGTTTTGGGTTCTTATTCATTTCTATACACTGTCTAAATATTTAAATGATGTCACTTTCTAACACTTCGCATTCTTTTACCCATCAAAAATGGAAACTTCTTCCATTTTTGTAATGTAACATGGCTGTATAACATAAGCATGAGGGATACAGTTTCATGTGTATCTTTTCTTCATAGAATGGTAGACTTACCTGAGCTGCCACCTTCGGTTCCTATTCTGTGCGATGGACGCGAGAAAGGAAGTAATTCAGGCCTTTCCCATCTTGTAGGCGTATTCGGCGATGGCTGTACTGATGGTTGAGTAGGAAGTGGAACTATAATCAGTTTTAGTGAGAATCATTGGCTGAAATTATCTCGAATTAGTGTTCTAAGTGTACATCTTGGATAACAGAATCCACAAAAGTTATAGGAATCTGGCTCTCTCATCGACTTCTGAGTAGTACTATGTCTTGTATTCAAGAATATTTTCATGATACTGGGAATAATTTATATACTGAAATGCTTACTCATTCTGGAAAAGAAGTTCCCGATATTCGCTATGAAGTTACCGAGTTGTCCACCCGGATTCAATGGACTTGGATCGTTTCCGAACTGAATACTGTCTCACTAAAGTTTGAAAACAAGGTAAGGTATCTCTGAAAAAGTGACAATAAAGGAAAAACTTCATTGGTTGAGAGATAATGATCAGAAGGAAGTTGATGACTTGGTCTAATTCGAATGTTTTTGTTCGATTTGTGACTTCTTTCGTTGAATTTCACCTGTAACTGGCTTCCTAAGTTGACGCCATTAGTTCCCGCTCCAAGGCCAGAATCTACGCCGACTCTTTCATTGGCGATAATCACGTTATCGGTTCCTAAATGTTTCATGGACACATTCGCCCATCCTTAAGCACCCATCTCAAAAAATTGACTCATTGATGAGGATATGTGTGGGTGCCGTTTGTCATAAGTGGCCTTTCTCGCTGACATACCACTTATTCCAACGCCGGTTGGGTTTCCCGATATCCCGAGTGCACGATGTCCACCGAAGCCGAAAATGTTTGCGCCTTGACTCATCTCCACGTTCCATCCTCCGTTTGGTGCTGGCCTCAGCGAGAACTGACCAAGGTTTATTTGGGCCAGAATTGCTGAAAAAGACAATATCTGACACCATACGAAGACATCAGGACGATGATATCATATGAGTTACTGGAATAATCGCATGATATACTTTAATGAACTTTTGTACCATTGAACTCTCCCACTTGGATGTTCCTGGGTTTCAAAGTGTAATTTGGAGGAAAAGGGGTTGCTTTTCCCAATAAGGTCCCCGACGCTGAGAAGTGCAACATTTCCTCTCCGAAAGCAAGATCAATGCTACAGCAAAGCGCGTGGTAAGCTTCTCTCTAAAGACGAAGAAGAAAGGAACGCTTTTAAAAATTTACGGTTCCTCGAGCTGTCGAAGCTCACCGGCAAGCTCTGATCGCGCCAAAGTAGAAGCGTTCCTCGCTTAAGCTGCTTCATTACTAAGGTACTAAAGAGTCATAGATTATAAGTGATCATATAGAAAGCGAATGCTTTTCTTTATCAGCAATCGCGAGGTTGTTATACAGCATACATTCACCTCCGTATACAAAAACGCGATTGCTGAAAAAAGAACACAACGCATTTATAATCCAGTGCCAAGGTTAATAGAAAGTGGATCTTGAGAACTGGATGCTTTTCACTGTATATGTCTTTTTTATTCAGTTAGTAGAGGCACATTCGTAAGTTTCATGAGCTGAATAACTAAAAAATGGTGTCAGTGTCTCGTCGAAGTGGACCCGAAGATCCGAGGATAGAGGTTTTACAGGAATTTTTAGAAAATACTTTTCGTAGAAAGTAACGAAAGGATATCCACTTCCATATCAGCATTCCACTTTATTAGGAGGATCCGTGCATTTTACTCCTGCTAAAAATCGGAATTGAATATGATCTGATGTCAATTCATCGTTAAGGTCTTGATGTCACTTAATTAATAAAATATGTTAGTAAGATATAACCGTTCCCAACCGTTTCCTGTTGTCTGGCTATACTTTATTTATAAAGGAGAAAATGGAAAGTAATTCGAACTGGATCGTATTCAAATCATTCAGAGATTGGTGCCAGCGCTTTCATTAACTGATATTGAGATATTGATAGTGGGCGGTAGTAACCAGTGAAAAACATACGCATCGATTATGTAGCATGAGTAATCAGTGCCTCTGGTAAGAGTGGATTTCACAGCTATTGGTTGAAAGGTCAATCAGCTTTATATAAGGTAAAGTCTCCTCACTAGTCTCTGGTTGTTCTAGTAAAACTGTGCTACATTTGATTTCAATAAGTGAGCAACTAAATAACAGCATCATTTATACTATTACTGCTATACCGTATACTTTACAAGTGCCGTACCCTTCACTTTGCTTCTTCGGATTCCCTGACCTTTCGACTTTATTTTGGTAGTATACTCGACTATTTTGTTGAGCAAGAATAGATAGAAAAATGAATTGTCCGAAGGAGAAGAAAGAAGCCCAACGATTTCGAAAGTGTTTAAAATTCCGAAAACAAAGTCCTGGTATTAAAAATTTAATCGGGCTTTGCTCCTCTTTGTTGACCAAACGCGTAGAAATAGGTTTTTAACGGAATTACTTATACCCTAAAATTAAGTTAGGAAATTAAAATCGAGCCGAAAGAAGAGAATGTTCGTGATAAATTACACTGTAGCGCAGCGTACTTCTAAAAGGAAACTATTTCCTTCTTTATATACTTAAGCCACCAAGGCTTATCTTTAGTGAATTCGACACGACAGTCTTTGAAAATGCCGATAGATTTTCGATAACAAGAGCATTTGATCGAACTTAAAGGAGTGATTTCGCATCATCAGTTACTATTTTTGTAGTTATTTTTATTTTATAACTTTTCATTTTCAGTTCCTGACATTTTTATGCTACGATTTTATTTTGCTTTCAATTTTCCACCACACTTTTTCGAAAGGTGCCTCGGAGGAATCCCAGTAATGCTTCTCCGCTGTGACGATGTGAAATTCCCATTCAAAACAGAGGTTTCTTGGTGTATTATGTCTCACCAAGAGTTCCTGTGCCACTGTAGCCGTACAGTAACTAAGGAATCGTCGCTGAACTAACCAGAAGGAATCAAGTCGTCGCAAAAATATTTTTATAAATCATAATGCGTATAGAAAATTTTCTGTTGGACCCTGCTGGTCACAACGCTATGATTAGTAGGCCATCGATGTGACATGGATTTCTGGCAGAAGAAACATGTAATGGAAAGGAAACAATTATAAAAATTGCATTGAAACCAATGCACATTGTCTAAGGAAGCGGTCAAGAGTGAACACATTTGTATCAATACATGGGGTTCTAAATCTGTTAATAGAGCAAAAGAAAGAAGTTTTTTTAACAGTACTCTATAGCAGTGATGACTTTTTTGGCGACACCATAGGCGAAAATGCGGTTAACCAATTGGTTTTTCCGTTGCAGATGTGAGCTTCGTCGAAAAAGAACGAGAGAATGAACGACTCATCCTAGGACGCATTAAAAAGTCTACGATCCCATCACGATGCAATAGAAAAATTTCTGTCATATTGGCAAAGATGTGTAGACCTCAATAATGTCTACTTCACTTAATTCATTTTTTCAAGCAGTTCTGTTCAAAGTCATGTTCTGCTTGCCTGTTCTTCGTACTCAATCAGTGCCTTACCACTTCACCTTTGTTGGCGTTTGCTCCTGAATATCGAGTTAAGTTACAGTTATAAGTTACAGCACCATTTCATTCCCCAATAGGTTCACCCAAATTGGGAACGAATTCGATTTTTCCATTCAGAACTCCAGCTAAGGGTGAAACTATACAATGGAAACGCTTGAAGAGCTACCTATTACTACTTTATCAGAGTAATCAAAAACTTCATACAGAAAATATGGTGCTATCCATGTCACCTGATCGAGTGAGCAGATCTCATTGAGGTAGCTCGACAAGTGTATGGGTGATTCCACAAAAAGTTACTCGAAGAATGACTAGATCACCGATGACAGAGCTGATTAGATAAATTTATTTAACAATTAGAAGTCGAGATTGGTTTTTTGACAACTGCTGAGAAACTCTTGGTAAATGGAGTACTTGAGGAGTTAAGATTATTCGTATATAATGCTGAGATATTTGCAAAACTCCGGACCGCAGGTGTATGCGGTGGGGGAACGAACATGCGCTGTTGTCCTTACCGGTGAGCAGCGCACTTCACCACCACATCATGCGGGTCCTTCGTTTCGCCTGTCTCTCAGCCAGTTCTATCGCTCTTTTTGCCATCAGCAATCACCTGTCAACGGGATTGATCTGGGGAGCCCAAATCGGCATTGAACCCAGTTAAGCTGAGGCTTAGTTATAATCACAATCTTAACCTTTTTATTTACTGCCTTTTTCTTTTTGCTGATGGCAAAAAGATTGATAGAACTGGCTGAGAGACAGGCAAAACGAAGGATCCGGATGGTGTGGTGGTGAAGTGCGCTGCTCCCCGGTAAGGACAACAGAGCGTGTTCGTTCCCCACCGCACACACCTGCGGTCCGGAGTTTTGCAAATATCTCAGCATTACATACGAGTTATATTCCGCAACATACCCCGCCATTAAAAAGAAAAAGGCAGTAAATAAAAGGGTGAAGGTTAAGAATATTATTTCTTGGAGAAATTCCGCTCTATCTACTTTAGGGTGGATGTAATTTTCCAAAAATGTTATTTCGTTATTAAACATGTCTAGAATTAAATTTTCCAAAGCGTCGTAGATGAGATTTCAGTTCTTAAGGATTCCGACTCACGTCTGCGAAGATCATGAAAGAAAACGAATAACGGTGATGAGTAGCTAGCTAGTTAGCATTCATATAGAAGCAGTAGGCCAGAATATCACGGTGCTGCTCGTTCAACCGGCATCCATTCCGTGGAATCCCTTTTTTACTCTGGTTACTTTTCAAATGCGTATGGCATTGCTCATCTCCAAATATGTTGTTTTGTATATGAGGAAACCACATTGTATCAGGTCGGAAAATTGGTACCGGACTTGTTTGGGAAAAGTCCACCCTCAACGTTTCAGGTGGAAACGCTCTAGCCCCGCTATCTCAAGTCTCCAGGGAGAATTTACTGGACCAGCATTCAACGACATTCGTGATGAAAGAAAAATCCTTCAGTGGCGGCCGAAGCCACCCGTAAAAACATGTGAGACCTTCGTGGCTGACGGATGCGAAGAAACGAATCGAATGCGACACGTGCTGGGAGCCACACGGTAAATGTGAAGACGGTTCGTCTAAAAAAACTAAACGTTTTAGGGCAAACGTGTGTATAGAGCAAAATTTTATGCTAGAAAATTCAACAAGTGAGCATCTGGCAGAAGCTTACTGTTTTCAGGGGAACAGGTGCGACCCACTTCATCCATCCTACTCCTGTGTCAATGATAGCCACGCTGGCTTGTCTAACCCAGAGCTCGTCAAACGATCGGCGACGTAGCGATGATATTAGAAAAGGAAAGTTTTTTCTGTTCCGTTCAATTAAATAAATCCGAATATTAAAATTGAAGTCTTCGATCCCATAAAATCAGGATTTTATCTCAGTGAAATAAAAAGGCTTGCATCCTATTAGGAAAGGCCTATAGATTCCAGTGATCATCATTTAGATTATTTAAGTTCACAATGAGCTGAAATACGTAGGCTTAAAGCTGGAGGCAGCTATTATTCTCGCACTATGTGAGTGGAAATCAGATCATGTGACTCTAAGTAATAAAGCTAAAAGGCAGTCAATAAGTTAATCCAAAGTCCTGAGTAAACAGCGAATTAGCTGATGGAGAGAATATGAGGAGAGGTGATCAAGGAGACGGTAAAGGAAACAATGGAAAGCGTGCATGTGGGAGAGAGAAAGAATGAATGATTAAATGAACGAGCGAAACGAACGGAACCAGAAATGTTAGAACAAAGTAAGTGTTACTACACACTTTAAAAGCATTTGTTGGTTTTCTAGGTCTCCATCCAAAATTGAACAGGTTTCCTGATAGATACAAGTACTTTACCTGGGATGTATGAGATGACAAGGTAAGCTGTTGTTAGCATGATTCAGTGCTTGAGGACAGGCTGGTGGAGGAGGCACGGTCAGAATCTTGTTGCCGACAAAGTGTAACACTACCGTCCGACACCACCACTATTGTTGTCCTAGTTGTGATATTTCGTCAGAGGAGACAAATTTTCTGCAATGAACGTGATTGTAATTACATAGTGGTATAGTGCATGCGTATGTGTTTGACCAGTTACAGCATAAATTACTCATGTAGACGAACATCGTGTTGTTCTACACCGTCGCGCTGATGTCGCCGGCCATAATACGCTGTTGTTTCAGAAGTGCTGAATCAGAACTGAAGAGGTAGAGGGTGTATGCAGTAACTTCCAAGTGAAATCGACGAAGAATTAAAAACACATGAGATAAATTACTAAACTCATCAAAGAGGGGTTTATTAGTAAAAAAGAAAAAAACTATCGGTATTGATCAATCCCACAGCGATTCGGAATGCATTTGGTCTCATTCGTTGACTTGCACAGCCCATATACACATCAGGCTTTTATCATGTCAGCGTTTTTATTCTCCTCGACAAAGGCTAGTACTAATTTACCGACGTCTGAACACAATAAGACTAGAGCATATGGTCGAACCAAAGACTGTGCCTGTGCTGAAGAGCACCTCTAGTCTTTGTGTTGTTATGAGCTTCATAGTAGTATATCCTACAGCGAAACTGATTGTTGCTTCTAAATTGTTGTTTTCTTTTGCATCTTTTCTTCCTCTTTCTTCTGCTCACTGTTCTTGTAATGAGATGTGTAGGCGTCGACACTGAAGAAAATGGAAGTGAGGAAGAAAAGAAAGAAAATAAAAAAGAAAGGAAAGAAAGATAATCATCTTCTTCTTCAATAATGGTTTCGATTATATTAAATCGTCTTGCCTTACTTTAACTTGTCCTTGAATTCATTGAGAAAATGACTTCACCGAAGTGCAATCGTATTCTACGAACAAAAACATTCTAACCGATAAGAAAATGAAGCGAAAAAACAACGAGCCTAGTCAACGATTTGGTTCATTGTATTCACAGTCGTTGAAAGAATAGGCTGTGAATACGTATGAATGGTAAGTGATGTCATTTTCAAATGTATGTGATTCGGAAACTACTGGGAAAATCACGGATCACTAGCTGATTTGTTCACAGTGAGGCGAAATTCGTCGTTGTCGTTTAGAGCCTTCATCTATCTTACTGTGGCTACTTTGTGCAGCTTTAACATATTTCCTCAATGAAATTTCGCTAAAAAATGGTGCTCACCAACAGATATGTACATAGTAGGGCATAATGAACTACAACTGCCTTGCATCCCACTAATCATCGAAGGACTCGAGCCGGCGGTATCGCGTGTATCACCTGTCGGCCCTTTCATCGTCGTGTGACTCGAACGGGTGCCAGTAAATCTTCCATTTCTTCCTGTCGTTTGCAAAAGTAGCCCAGTGGGTTCTTCTCTCTCCACGCGCTTGTTGAGCATCATATCCATCTTCTAGGAAACTCTGACCAACGGGTTGCTGGTCTTCTCGCAGCACGTTTGGCATCCCGAAGAATCCAGTCATTAATGACAATCGTCTAAGGGTTGTCGGCGGTACCAGCAAGTTTTCCATATGGATCTTATTGTGCGTCAAAACGGCTTTACGTGTTCCGCTCAATCTACTAGTTAGGAAAAAACTCCATTTTTGATGTGATAATCCTCTATTTTGAGTACAAGGTAGCCATGGATGGTGTACCCGCCTCTGTAGTGGCCTAGATTCACATTCAGCTAGGCTTCTGGATGGAATTTTTGAAATCCTTGGCTGACCTTGCTGGTTAGTGAAGCTACGCTATACGTTGCTATTCTATGAAAGGATTATTTCACAGCCGCGATGAGATCTTAAACCGCTGTGAGAGAATTTGAACAATTAATGATCTTTATTCGTATTATTGGTGTGCGTATAACGCAGTGGAAGCATTGTCATTCTCTCGTTTGACCCGATCTACAACCAACCCTGCTATTCCCCCGTGGTTAGCAAAATGGTGCCAGACCTCACTGGAACGCTTCCGGTGATCTACGAAACCTATAAACGCTCTGAATACGGTTCTCCTAGGGTTTCAGAGAGAATCTCGATCAGTATTTAACAACATTCATTAAGAAGACCAAAAACCTCAACCTTTAATTTAAAAAACGCAAACCCGATGGCTTTCATTGATATGATGAAGCAAAACGAACCAAAAAAGTGTTGTAACCCTTAAAAAAATAAATATGAGTTTGCGTTGTTTGGAGTAAAAAAAATAACTTTAAACTTTAACTTTATTGCGAATGCGATCTTTCTCAGTCACTAGAAAGTCAAGGTATTACATGAACGACTATTTAGAATTGCATGGACAGCATTGTTCTTGTACCGCACGATCCTAAAAATCTGCAAAAAGGAACTATTATTTCTAAACAATGGAGAATAAAGCGTAAAATTGGCGAAGGAGGATTCGGCGCGGTTTACAAAGTTGTCAACGTGGAAACTGAAACTTCTGTGAGTGTTTTTCAAATATGGATAAATGAACCATTTAACGTCAAGAAGTCGTTTTAATTCTTTTAGACGGCACCGGTAAGTAGAAAACTAGCTGAGAGACAGGTGAAACGAAGGACCCGCATGGTGTGGTGGTGAACACGTTTGCCCCTGAAAAGGGTAATAGCGGCATGCTCGCTCACCACCGCAGATGCCTCTGGTCTGGAGTTTTGGAGATATTTCAGCATCATTATAGTTCTAATTTTTATTGTCCAGAAGACTTTAGTTTCTTGAAAACTGATGTAGTCGGCAATCAAAATTTTTCGAAATCTTGGCTTTTTCGCCTACGAGGCTTCTTCCTTAGAGCCATTAAAACTATCCACAAATTGATTAATTTCATAAATTGCACTAGCACTCATGAGACAATTCTTCTTATCAAAGTTGATTAGCTTCAAATTAAGCCAACTTCGCAGTCATCGATAACCCGTCTACTGCATAGCCTATTGATTGATTTGTTATGTCTAGCGAAAACTCGTTCAGACGAGTTATCCACGTAACCATTATCCCACATGTATGACATGAACACTTGCGTTGTTGCTACCCATCATATTCCATTTCCTCATATATCATCATATTGGTAGTATGTAAAGTGCAAATTTCGTCCTCCACGCCTCAGAGGCAACCGGTTTATAAAAAGTAATTTTGTTATGCAACACTTGATTAATACATCGATTTTATGACAGGGTAAACAAAGATGTATAAAAGTCGGAAATATATAGCATCCAATGAATTAAATCCAACGAACCAACTTCTGAGTTGCGGCGCGTCCCTTACAATTCGCCTTATTTACAACGACCATTGAAAAAACTGATAAGCACATAGATGCTTTCATTTCTCATAATTTTACATATTTATTTAAGGCGGCATTGAAAATCGAAACCCATAATAAACGCCAAGTACTGAAATTGGAAGCGAAGGTAAAAGGGTTTCTAAAAAAGCAAATTAATTGAAAAAGGAAAATTGGACGGTGCCAGATTCTGAAGGACTTATTGAGCTACTCCCAACACTACAGTAGTTAATAGAGATTTAGTGCTCTTCTTATTACCCGTGTTTTTGGAAATATAAGTCCAAATCTGAGGAATTGCTTCAGTGTTTACCTTCGGCTATGTTTCTGCGTCATGAACCGTGTGTACTGCGGGGAGTCATGTCCCCTATCTTGAACTTGAACTTGAACTTGAACGGCCCGTCATCATTAGTTGTGCGGGCCCCAGCACAATCACCATTTTTCGGAGATTTGCTGGTTAAACCATTGTGGTTCTCTGGAATCCCGAGAATAGCCTGGCCAAAGTCTGCCCCAGGTCTTCATCACCACAGGCAGTCGCAGCCCTTGTGGATCAGGGGGGATTTACCACCATGCGACTTTGGCACCAAGACGGTTGTGGATTCTGGTATTCATTTACTCTTAGCTAGGCTTCCTGGTGGAAACGCTGGGCTCCTCAGCTTAGGAGACTCTGCCGGGGGACGAATCCCCCCCCCTACCCCTGTACATCGCAGTCCGACACCTAGGAACACCTCCCAGCCATGATGAAGCGGTAAACCGTTGGGAGGATCCCCTATCTGGGTATCGTAATCTGAAAAAAGTTTGGCATTTTCATCCGGAGGTCAAGCTAGGCGTATTTAACCATTTCCAGGAATCACTGCTATCCTGATAACAACACGGTCACTAGCTAGAAGGTGTTCCCTACATGGAAAACTCATGACATGGCTTTCGAAACTCTAGGGAAAGAAAATTTAGCCTAACCAACAAATTACCAATCGATTAGTTGTCGGCCCGTATAGCGCAGTGGCTACAGGTGCTCTGCAATACACATGGGATCGGTCCCACGTCCTATATCCACCAAACCTTCTATACCTCTTTAGTCGGCAAATTGCCATCAGACTTCTCTTGGGAATAGCAGCACCGGCTTAGTACATAGGTAGGTTACCGTGGTTCATTGTACAAGCCGGATATGCATCCAATCACCTCCAAACGATGCTTAATGAAGTCGAATGCATAGCGCATCACTCAGAGATTGATCAACGCCGAGAGCTTTATCCTTTTTAGGGAAGACTGCTATGAAAAGATTAGCTTGAAGATGTGTTGTTTCCCGTTACTCAATCCATTAAATTTGAAGTATCACTTATTAGAGGAAAAACTTTACAAAAGATCTATTTGATCCTACTTTCTCGCCGGCAACAAACAGGATTTTTTCGACGTTGTATTTTGGTGCCCGAGTGGTAGTGATATCTCCAATAAAAGCATTTATACGACCACCATTAAGAAATGGTGGCTGGTTGGCGACACTCTTAGGTGGTAGGAGAGGCCACATTTGTTTCATGACAAAGATTTTCTCTTTTTTGCTGTTATACTCATATAATCAGGGCAAAATCATACCCACATTCTTTATTTATTATTACATGACTCGACATCAAATGTATCACACTGTGTGAATCCCAGCACTTCCTACACTTGATTTCTTTGCATCGACTATTCATCGATGTTTCGCAATTTTTTGCGCGTCACTTCGGCTACTTCAGGATTTCAATGCCTTGGTCACGAATAACGATGGATCCTAGTCGAGTGGATTCTTCCTGCAATCAAATGATAGTCGTTCTACAGCGTCCTAACGTGGACTGGAGGGAATAAGCTTGTTCCAGAGAAGTCTGGCACCAATTTCACGATCCCGGAGGAATAGAAGGTTTAGGGACCCCAGGTCGAACCAGCAAAATGCGCATGATAAACAGCATCACTACCATTGGCGCACCTGTCCTTTAATAATAATGGAAACAATAATAACGTAATGCGATAATATTTTTCAATGTTGATCAATTTCTCAACACCGCAGGAGTGATTAGAGGGTGTTCTTCAAAACAACACAATAGTTGTTGTACGATTCTACACCATTCAAGACAGGCCATTCAAACAAAAGTGTAAGAAAGAGTTGATCAAGCCCCTGGGGATACGCCCTCTACCTGACTTCATTATGTATCGTTGAGATTGTCGGAAACATAATGACATATACAGTGATTTACGGAGACCTACTTATGTATCAAGTCGGAGTATTTTTCTCCTAGCATGAAATTCTGTTACAAACCCACCGAACCCGATGTATGGAGGACTGGCTTTCCCCGACTTCAGGAGACGTGTGTATTGCAAAGTACCTCTAACCACTGTACCACACAAGGCTTTACCATAAGAAATAGATGCAGTATTTCTTATATTATCGAATATTTTAATTGAAAAAACCTCAATGTATACTGACTAAAACGTAATTCAACAATAACGCGGATAACGATTATAAATTCCAGATTCTACATGCACTTGGAAAATCCCCATTTGTCCCACATTTATTGGATTCTGGAAAGAAACCGTCATACTCGTACATAGTTATCACACTGCTTGGACCAAGTCTCAATAAAATTTTAAGGTAACAAATTTGCAGCCCTCATTCAGTATTAAATATAGGTACATTTGCAAAACTCCGGACCGTGTCTACGATGGGGGTCGAGCCCGTCGCTACATTTTCTGGCACTACCACACCATGCAGGTGCATCGTTTCGCATTACTCTCAGCTGTGTTCTAACCTATAGGTACTATCAGCAATCATCCATCAACGGAATTGATCTGGGGAGAAGAAAATTTGTGCTTGCTTCTTTTGCTTTTGTTTTTGTTTTGTCACTACCACACCATGCGAATCCATCGTTTCGCATTTCTCTCAGCCGTCTTTTAACCTATAGGTACTATTAGCAATCACCTATCAACGGGATTGATCTGTGGAGCACAAATTGTGTGCTCGTTCCTTTTGCTTCTTGTGCTCACCGGATCAATTCCGTTGTCGGATGATTTCTTATAGCACCTATGGGATAAAATACGGATGAGAGAAAGGCGAAACGATGGACCTGTATGGTGTGGTGGCGGTTAGCGCCCGGAAAGAGTAACATCAGGTTCATTCTCATCGCAGACACCTGTGGTCCAGAGTTTTGCAAATATCTCATCATCATTGTGGTTATATCTCACATCGTACCTGTCATGAAAAAAGAATAGGCAATAAATAAGAAGAGGCTATATAACCAAATTGTTATTTTATTTCTGATTTCCACTTTATATATAGCCTATAAGTCAAGATCGTTTAGACTTTTCGGCAGAACATGTAGTGTATCGGCACAAGTTCGAATAGCAATCAATACACTTTATGCAATTAAACAACTTCATGACGTGTGTTCTAAGTTTTTTCTTTTTCTTTAGCGTATTTCATTCTGGGAAAGGAGCTCAAACTGACATATCTGATTCGATATTTTTGACTGACGATTGTAAACAATCATGATTGAAGACACCTTTGTTCTGCATACGAATCGATCGATTGGCAAAACAATCAGTAATAACTGAAAAATTTCTAATTCCCATCGGAATCGACGATATACTGGGCTTCTTAAGGCTTCTTAACAGGAATTCTTCGTATATCACTCTTTAGGGAAGTTGAGCACTTGGATAAGTGGCTGAACTTGAAACAATCATGATTGAAGATTTAACTCACCGATCAGAGATTGAAACTGATTTCAGAGCGGTTTCGTTCATCGTGATCTGAAACCGGCCAATATGGCTGTCGGCCCAGTTGGTACACCGGAATTTCGTTTTATTCACATCTTTGATTTTGGGCTAGCGAGACAATATGTCGTGACGTCAGACAGCGGACCACCAAAATTACGAAAACCTCGCCCACGGGTTCATTTCAGGTAGTTGGTGAACTAAAAAAGCTTCATGTATCCAATCGTGGAAACGTCATAAAAATTTCTGGTGGTTTTTTTCGCTTATAAACAAAATATTCTCAACTGTAGGGATTGGGAACCACTCTTAAGTTCACATTCTCCCATGTCACCATCTTATCAGGGTGAAATTTATGTCAATAAAGTTATATACAGGTAAATAACGACTAAAATGGGTTCGTTGGAACATTGTTAAGTCTAAGATACAATGTTAAGCCGTTAAAAGTTAAAACCCGTTTAATGGCTTCGATTTCAGAAATACCTCCTGCTTTAGTAAACAATTTACATTTTGGACTTTTTTCATTCTTAACCATACCACATGCAAAAGCCATAAGTTTTGCAAGTATTACATCGGGTTCATTTGTTGCAAGGGAAATGTATAGTTCTAGTTGAAGTTATTTTTATAGGCCCTGGAGCTGTAGAACTCTTTCAACATTCTCACCCAAATTTTTTTCTGTTCTGATGAAAAGCCGATGACGTTCTTATCGTCATAGGACTTGTGGCGATTTTTAAGTTGAACAGTTCACTGTAAATATCGCATTCAAGGGGCACATTGCGTTACTGCTCTATCAATTGTCATGAGAGAGCGGAACAAGGGCGTGACGATGATCTCTGGTGTCTTCTGTACCTACTTGTAGAACTCAGAGGAGCGCTTCCATGGACAAAATCCTCGTACGTGAAAACTATTTTATATCTCTTTCCTTGTGATAAACATCGCAGCGTCTACAATTTTTACCAATCCGCTTTATTCTATTTCGCTCCGAATTCGGACAATATTTCTGTATCACAAATAGCAAAATGATAAAGCGTTTGGTGTTGATCAATCTCTTAAAGATGCACCATGCATTTGGCTTCGTCAATCAAGCACGTAGAGGTGAGTGGGAGCATAACTGACCTGTACACCGGCTTCTGGTAGCCTATAAACGTATTAAATCAATGGTTTTAGCCTCCCAAACAGGTCTGGTACCAATTCGTCGATCCTAAAGACGTGAGAGCCCGTTGTGATGCGGGGTCGAAACAATGACTAAATGTTCATAGCAGAATACCTCTAATGAGTGGGATATGCGATCCTCGCATCATATATATATATATATATATATATATATATATGTATGCATATATATGTATATATGTATACATATATATAAGATAACTGGTCATTTTTCATAGGAATATGTTTCGTAAAGGAACTTATCCTAAACACTTTACCATTACCACTTTGTCTGGTAGGTCATCCTAGCTATATACCGGCAGTTTGTAATCTAAGCGGGATCGCTGGAATTGAGAAATTCGGCATTTCCATCGGTCAGCCAAGTTAGGGTAAATCGCTTTCACAAGCTCTGCAGGGATTTCATGGTTACTTATTCTTCAAATAAATGAAGGTATCGCTATCGGAAGAGGCTTTCCGTGGTCCTCCAGTAGGCGGAACCCATTGAGCAGATCTGACGCTCTACAGGAATGAATGGATACCTTACTGGAAGCCATTTCAGTAAGTAGATGATTAACGGGGTACAGATGATGTGAATGGCAAAATGTTAGACTAACGACGCATATTTACCTACTTGTATAGTTGGATAGTCCGTCTTCAACGGTAGTCGGGCGCCAACGCAATTTCCATTCCTTTCTATCTCGCGCTGCCGTCGTCCATGGTGGTGGTCTGTTTCGAACATACTCAGTTCATTTCTTCCGCTGTTATCTTTTTTTTATGAGCGACCCATTTGTGCTTCCCTATATTGATACCGACTATTGTGGTGTATTCTCCTGGAACGCGAAAATGAAATAGATTTCGAAAATCTGATACACGAAATTGAACAACTTCATCCAGAAGGGTATGAAATGATGTGAAGCAATAAAAGGACCTGAAGAAGCTATCATTTTTACTTTTAATTTTAAGAGTATTGGGTCCTATTTTTTTCCACTGGTGAAATTATTATAATAATTTCATCTGTGTTAGCTTTTGTGAAATTACTGCAAGAACAAAAATAAGCAAACACTAAGATGTTCGCTTTTCACATATCATACAGTCCCACACTTCCTCCCTCTCTTTCAACGGTCACCTATGAATGTGGTCCCGTTCATGTGTATATTTTCCTACTTCTTGAGGACTCGCCCGCTTTATCTCTTCACTTGAATGTTGGCATAGCATTGTTTTCCATGAGCTTTGAAGAAAGTCGTGCTAGATTGTCTTCACTACAAGCAATTGTTGATTCGTGTTGATCGAAGTTGATGTGAGTACTTGAGCCAACAAACGCTGAAACATACCAAAGTTTAGTTGCGTTTGAAGGTAGTAAGGAACGCGTGCAGCGCAGTGGTAAGAGGTGTCCTGAGACGCACATGTAATCGTTGGTTTGGTAGTGCTCGCCGAGTTACTCAAGTCTTTCAACCTTCCGGGATCGTAAAAATGATACCAGGTTTCTCTGGGAGGATAGCAGCACGGACTTGATATATCGGTAGGCCATTACAAATCGTTGTTTAATCGAGATATGCATTCGATAATCTCTAGCCATGCTTGATGAAGTAGAATGAACGGCGCCTTCCTCAGGGATTTAGCAAAGCTAGGAGGTTTTTTTTTGAAGGAAAGCAAAGAACAAAAATTATGAACAACAGAAACCATATCGAGATGAAAAAGATTAGAATGAGAATGAATGAGATGGTTACTTATATGACTAAAATAAAGCGTGTAAGATGATGCTGTAAAAGGATGCTAGGATGTTTGCAAAAGATTAAGAGGAATTCAAAATGATTTTTCACCACAAAGAGTTACGAGAATCCATTGTATGCTCATCAGTAAGTCAAGATATATAAAGAGACAATGGCTCCTACAATTATATCGATCAGAAAATTTGAATTGAAGCTAAAGTTAAAGAGTACAAATGAAAAATTAAGGTTAGATAGCTACCTGATCTAAGTCAATGGCAAGAAAATTAAGCAACAATAGAACTAGAAATTTCATTCAGGGATGAAAAACTCATTCTGCATCTGAAGAAAACAACCAGTTTGGAGGCACTGTTGTGGAATTGTCCTGAAGAGTTCATAGTCTTTGCAAAGCATTTAATGTAAGCACGTCAGTATCACAACCGGCTTTTTAGAAAACTAGTTTTCCTTCATTACACTTTTTTTTTTGCCATCGATGCCTTTTGTCTATAGGACATTGAACTACTACCTGCGGCCTGACTATTCGCTACTTCACAATTTACTTATGAAGGTCATGGATGCTGGGGATTACAAGTAAGTCATTTCACCGTAGAACTTTTTAAAAGATGGCACTTATACGTAGTAAAATAAGTCTACACTTATAGGACAATTGTTATAGTAACTATTCCTTAAATAGTTCCTGTTCTGTATGATATCACATGTTTCCTGTACTAACTATTTACTTATAACTGTTTTAAATCTATCCATTCTTAATGTCTTTAGACTGTCTCGACATGTACTTTCGGTAGAAGCCTTTGTGCAAGCTATTTCATCTCTTTCACATGACCTTTTGATAAGCCTTTGCGTCGTTTTCATATAACCTTTCTGTACGAGCTAATCCTTCGCTATCTGATAAAGTTCTATGTTGACGAAGCCTCTGGCATACCGTCTTATCTGACGTACTTCTCTGCATGTACAGTATCATGCCTTGAATCAGCACTATCTCTGACTCCCTCTGTAAAACCCCACCCATTACGAACAGAATATAGGGGGCACCGGCAGTCATAGAGACTAGTGCCTGTCTTCCAATCTACCAGTGCCTGGGTTCCAACTCCCAGTGCTTATCTTCCGATCCCTCAATTCCTCAGTGCTCCACCTCTAGCGTCCGCTTAGCTTCCTTCAAGTGTATCACTTGTTCTCATTTCAATCTCGCTCGTATCCACCCAGCTTACATATCGTCAAATATCACACATTATTATTGTATCGTTGTTATTGCTATAAACTGTTATAACCCAAACTCGAGGTTGTTCAAGGTAGTTACGGAGAAAAGTCCCGCGTGGCGAATTCATATAAAGCCGAGCATTCAACGTACAGTTGGCAGACAAAAGACAAATCCAATCAACTCCCTAATCCACTGACCAACTAGCACATTTGTCTGGGAAGCAAAAATACCTTAATTTCCGTTTCAGATTTTCGGATCCATACGATTGGGAACTTAAGACATCCATTCCTACAGAATCGCCGTGAGTCTGACTTACGAACCTCACTCTTTCTCTGTCGTAGTAGCAAAGCAGGCCTTATCGGTATGACGAATAATTGACGGCAGTATGAAGAGATTGCCCATTACTGGTAGTACCGGACTATTGGCCACCACCGTCGGAAAAATCTATTCTTATCACTAGGCAACAATTTTGAAAAGAGTATAATTTGGGAACCAGTCAAAAGTAGGATTCAGTCGCCCAAGTTTCAGTTGTTTTACAAATCGGTTCTTTCAGTGTTACAGCAACAGACTCCACTGAAATGAGTCGTACGTACTCAGCAACGCTATGTACGGTAAGCTAACACTTAGTTAATGGAAGATTACTGTATTTGAAATGATCTAAGATTAGATGCCGGTAGTGAAGAGATATAAGAATGAAAGGAAGTCGCTGTAGAGAGGAATTCCCATGTTCTACATCCTCGTTCAAATTCATCAAACATGTCTACCGCCTGGTCCATGACGATTTTATTCAAATGAAGGGAGACTAAATATGAATTATAAAGATTAGACGGTCTACAACATGGTCGCTACTTTTTCTGATTTCCAGGCAATCGATGTTAATCCGTTTCCCGCTGAGTACTTTTCCTACGATCCGTTTGGATTTTGATTTCTCAACTAGCACTCGAAGAAAATCGCATGAACGCGTATCAGGCCACCGTGCTACTTCAATGATTTTAATCGTGTTTGAGAACAAATCGAACTAATTCTTCGTTAATATCCATGTATGAACATAATATGCTAGCAAATAAACTACTTAAGATTGGATGAATGTCTTTAGGATAAACGTCCACCTGTCATTGACTTAGTAAACTTTTTATAATCCTCCTTGTCGAAAACCACAAAACTATGCAGATTTTCACTGCATTCATGCTGAGCAAACGCGAGGTTATTACTCTGTTTTTTATTAACAAGGAACCTGGCGTTCCTGAAGATTTTTCCTTCTTCAGAACCTGCTATTTCCTCCAAAGGCGGTTCTTCAAGTACTGAGCACAATGGTATTCCTTCATCACGCAATTCTTCAACTGAGCGAACATTTGGCCCCGCTTGCTTCGTAGACAGGCGCTTAGTATTCCTAATGTTCAGTGCTCGGTGGCTATCCTATGGTAGTCTGCGTAGCATCGTGTAGTCGTCTTCGTTTGATGAAGTTGTTTGTTAACAAAGAACAGAATAACAAACTCGCGTTCGCTCTGCAAAAATGCAGTGAATTATCTGATCAATGTCGAAGTTAATACAAAGTCGACCTGTGGAACTGCGCAGATCTCGTCTTGAGGAGAAAGCCTATGCTCTGAGAGAGGTGATTCTGCAATATCGAACACAAGAAGAGAAATTATAGAGCTAACCAGAGGAGAGCAACAGTGCTCTTCGCTTGTACAGACGTAAAGACTTGAGAAAAAAGGTAGATATCCTCTTCGTGTTTCTGGACTTCTGTGTAGCTGTCACTTCGAGGTATAAAAAGTTTTCAACGTTGATCAATGCCTGAGAGATGTGCTATGCATTCAACTTCATTAAGTATCGTTGGAGGTGATTGAATGCATATCTGGCCCTTACAATGACTCGGGGCAGCCTACCGATGTATCGAGCTAGTGCTGCTATCCTCCCAAACAAGTCTGATACGAAAATGCCGACCCCGGATCGATGGAAGGCTTGGTGGGCCATGGATGCGGAGATCGATTCCATGTGCGTGTCGCAGTGGCACCTCCAACCTTTGCGCCACACACGCCCTTTTCAAGGTATAGGTAAAGTAAATTAATGTTAAAAAATTAAAATAATGTTACCTATTGCGATTGAGAACCTGCCTTAGGCAATGTATGATGATTTGTTCTGCACGTAGGTTTGTAGAGCACAGAGGTTTAAACGTCGTTACGGAGTTCAATGACGAAAATAATAGTTTATTTTTGGTTTTCACCAACATTTCTGGGAAAAAGCAGAGCGAAATTTTTAGCAAACGTGGAATTTGATTAAAAAGTCGAAAGACGAACTAAAAAAACGGGTTTATTTAACGAGGGCGACAGAAAAATTTCCACGATTCAACTTGGTCCCATTCAATTTGATGGCACGTCTATACTGAAACTAAAAAGAAGAAGAATTTCATTGTGACAATGAGCTTTATATGGCAGCTCGTCGGGCCTCATCGATATGAGGCGGTCCAAGAGGATTGTACAGTTCTTGATCGGTTATCGGATTCGATAACGGCGATGGCACGACCCGTTGAGCTCCTGAGTCAGCTTCTACATCTGAAATGATAGGCAGTAAAAGACATAACTGAAAAAGTACTGGTAATGCAAGAACATACCGGGAAGTGAACTATATACATGGGGTAGAGTGCCGATCTCAAAAATCTTTTAGAGTTCGAACTTAACCAATTAGCTCCATATCTATTCTGAGAGAGCACACTAAACTATCTACATGTATCTCCAAAAGCAGCAAAAGTAGACGGTTTTTGTAAGCTGACTTCCATTTAACCTTGACATGAAAAATCAATAGCTCGCTATATAGACAAGTTAATACGAGATTGTTACAAAAACTGTCTCTTGTGGCTAACGTTTCGGCACCTTGATTCGAGTTGAGTGTACACAGTCAGCTTCTTCCGATATGGGTCTCTGTTGTTGCAATGAAACGATCCCGGTGAAGTGGAGTGGATCACCGTACAAATATAGTAACCTCACTCGGCAGTGCCCTTTTATGGAAGACGGTTGGTGATTGACTATCCACTCATGATAATTTATTAATAATAGTAAATGACATTGTTTTTCTGACATCGCTATAGTCCGCGAACCCGACAACTTTGGGTAGGATAAATGAGAAGAACTGTGAAATTTCAAGACGTTTATAGGCTTTCAGTGCGAAGGAGTATATCACTGCAACAATCTAATGTACGTAACTACGATCAGAAGTTTCTACTGAAAACTGATGACGCAAGCGAAGAAAATCAAACACGTTATCCTACTGATAAGGACGAAATGCCCGCTAGATCAGTTTGTTGTACTGGAGAGTACTTCTCGAGAGTACTTCAATTAGAATAGCTATCAAACTGGATAAAACGTCTATGGTAGGAAAGTATGGAAGAGTACCGCTTTTAGCACTCTTTATCACCTATGTTTCAACATCAATCTATAGAGAAGACAAGGTCGAAGCCCGCTCTATGGACTTGGAGAAGTTGCATAGAAAAGATCATACCTCCCACAAGGTTATTATCAGCGAGTCCAACGCTTACACTTTCTTCAGAAGAACGTATTTCTAAATTTATCTCTACACTAAGAGAGTGATGAAGAACAAATACGATGAGAGGCTGTACTAGAGAGTATGAGAGGTATTCCATAGCAATGGTCTCGCACGAGTGCTTCCTTCACGGAGGAATTTTTTATAAGAGACAGAGAAAACTACAGTAAAAACCTCAAGACAATAATAAGTAACGTTTTTATCCTCCGTAGTTGGCTCTCTTAAAGATAGCGTTATCAAAAACAATGATGGGAATTCGGCTAGTTTATCAAAACGCCTTCGCAGTATTGCTACAAAAGCCGATTTTCCGAAGATCACCAGGAGATCTCAATACCGGGACCTCTTCAATTGATATACCAGCTTCAAAGTTCTCAAAAATCACGTAATCATCAATTTGTCATCGACCTTCCTAAGATTTGAATTAGTAAAAGAGATCCTTAGTGAGAGAGGAACGGAAAGATTGAATTGAGGTGCAGTGCCTGAGAAGAACACCACAACGTTGGCCGAGTCATTCGCAATCACAAGGCCTAGACAATCGTCTTTGGACACTCGGATGTATTAGTTACTATATCCAGAGGAGAAAGTCATCCATGACCTTTATTCCGACCTGTTTCTCATCCACGTTCACATTTCTCAATACCAGATAGGGGAGAACAAACATATCATCTCTATAGTTCTCCCCTCAATGTTCAATTTACTAATTTCGTTCGTAGAAAATCATACCGTAAACGCTCCAGATAGGATGAAAGTCGAATATAAATAGAAGCTACCACCAGTCCTGCTCAACATACTGGTTGTACATTTAACACGTTACCTACTCAGATTATTGTAACACTTGCAATCAATGAAGAGCTATCAGGACCTTGTTGTTATATAGAAAGGAGACCTGTAAGGCAACGAAGAAAAAGTAATCCATTTGCCGTTTCTCGTCTACAAGATCTTTAGTTAGTCGATATATTCCCAGCAGGTAACTTACAAAGCATTTTAAAAACCACACGTGTAGTAAGAGAAAGCAGCTGAAAACGATTAGGTATCAGACTTAGTTATTAAAATAGAATAAAATGTTAGAAATAGAGAGAACTGTCAGAATAGACTGGTTCGCCTCGTTCTCATCTAGGCGAAGAAGATATTCTACTGCAGACACTGACTGCTAAACAGATAGAATGTTGACAACGTGGAATAGTAATGAAACGAATTCCCATTTTATAATTTCAAGATCCCTTCTATTCTATAAAATACGGCAAGAAACTGCAACGATAAGCTCAACACAGCTATAAGTACAGCGGTTCTCATTCAAACGATTGCTGAAGTCCGGGGCTATCCCTGTTCACAGCACCAAACCCCAATATTTTCAGGACGTATCGCCATCACACTGCCTCCTTTTTTTGAGTACAATATGGATTTCTGTAAGTGAGATATGCAATGGTAGCTATTTCAACGTCATTTTGCTTCTTATATTCTATAATGTCAACGATAAGTAGAAAGAAAAAACTACTATCAGTTGACTAACTCATCGATGAGTTTTCAGAAATGTGTAAAATTTCACCCATGTACAACAATATGTGCCAGAATTTAGTTGAGAGTTCCATAAATCACAAGGCATTGAAGAGAGAAACTATCAAACTATGAGCTAAACAGTCAGGATCGTTTTTGAAAAGGATAAAAAAAAAAGGAAAGGAAAGGAAAGGTTTTTTTGATATTCATCTGAGCGACAGAATACAAACGAATTCGATGACGATTTTACCGATACCCAATGTCTGAAACATTTTCCATTCCCATATTCAAGACTTACAATACACTCTGGCTGGTTCCTTTTCAGTTCGTATCTTTTCTAACTCATCCAGTAATTTTGCTCTGAAAATTTTTAGGATATTATTCCTAAAACAGGTTTTCAATGACTTCTGTAGTACTCCCATTACACTCACCTATAATGGACTTTTAAGCTGTAGATAACAGTAAAAAATATGGCAAGGCATACAAATAAGAAAAGCACATACTGAAGAAGCACTCGATACACAGAGTCATTTGTGAATTCTGCAAATCGATAGGTTATGATTTAACATACCAAAAAGATTAAAAGTTGGGAGATGTGAATTCTATCCAGTTTTTCTATAAAGGTAAGAAATGAGTAGAACGTTGCTTGCCGAGCAATCCAAAGCGTTGTCTTACGCTTTCGATTTCATTCGTAACGTCATAGAGGCGATGAATGCATACGTCGCCATAGAATGACTTCCAGTAGCGCAATTCATTGAGTTAGTTTTCTACCGTTCCAGAAAGGCCTGGTACTAATTTGCTGACCCTGGAGGGATGGAAGGCTTAGTGAGTTTGGGGCTTGAGATGAAAGCAATAACCCTATTTACAGTGCAGGGTCCCTCTAAGCAAACACGCGCCTGCATCTTTGTAAGGGTTGTTTCTAAGTACCTAAAAAGATTTCCCGAATAGTTGCAAAGCATTAGCTCTAGTAGAGGATCGAAACCATGGTGGTTCTATTATGAAAAAATGAATGATCCAGATGGGAACGCCGTACTACGTAACCCATAGGAACGAACTAATGCTGTGCTAAATAATTCAAGAAAATATAATCGAACACTTATTTTCGGTTTTATTATATGCATTAGGTCAGCAATAAAATAGATCATAGACAGCCAGATTAACCGGTTTTGCTTTTATTACTTGCGAATTCATTCAATTTTTCTTTCTCTGAGAAGATCCAATTCATTAAACTAAAGCGTAAGGGCGCGTGTGGCGCAGCGGTAGGAGGCGCCATGCTGTACACATGGGACCGATCCCCGCGCCGCCCAAGCCCGCCAAGCGTTGCATCCCTCCGAGGTCGGCAACTTGGTTCCAGATCTGTATGGGAGGATAGCAGCACTGGCTCGATATATCGGTAGGCCATCGCGAGTCATTGTAAAGGCCAGATATGCACTCAATCAGTTCTAAACGATGCTTGATGAGTTCGAATGCATGGTGCATCCCACAGGGATTGGGCAACGGCAAGAGTTCTATCCTTTATCGTTTTAAACCGCATTCGCAGAAAATAATCGGATTATAAAAAAACTCATTTATTAGTTGACTAAAGAAGCGAAAAAAGGTTATCATAGATGGAGTGAAGGTAGTTACACGCATTTGTTTTGCGTTTCTTGGTTCTTACTTTTTAGTAATTACCATGATTTCAAAGCATTTCCACTTTTTCTCGGAAAAAGGCTGCACGAAATCTATGGTCGTGATGATACATTAGTACGATATATCATTAATAAGAGAAATCAAATTCTGGTCAGCTTTTGCTAAACAGGATAAAATTGGACACTAAAGTGAAAACTGATGATGCTGTTATTGAGTGATCCTATCCTAATGTCACCGCAGTCATCACGAATGCAATGAACATCGACAATGTGCTCGTGTTACGTTCATTTCGCTCGGAGAACTTGATATAATTAGAATTAAGCCCCAGTTCCGAGCTCAGCGCAGGCTATACGTTGGTATTAAATGATAAACACAATGAAATTGGTGGGTCTCATTCTTCTGACCCTGAATGAGGAGGAGGTGTTGGGTAGAACGAGTACGAAGAGTCTGCTATAATATGCTATATAGCAAGCACAGGGTGTCTTCCTACAATTCACGTTCACTGGCATCTCCACTAAGCACCTCACGATACAGGCTAAAAGGATAAGTTACGATGTCGTATCATTGGACTGCTTAGGTGAGGAGATGGCAATAGAAGCAGCCATGAAAGCAACGGACAACCAGGGCGCTCTTACTCACTATTTAAAGATTCTTTGTAAGCTACATAAAATTTCCCAACCAAAGTATAGCCATCCTACAATCGAACTCCAGAATGTCAAGCGAAAATTGGAATGGGACAGTATAGAAAACCGACGGCCGGCATTTAGACCATCCGGATACGTAATGTGTCTGCGTTACAACCGATGAACAAGAGCCGTTAGAGACTGAATTTCTCGGGATGTAAAACGTACAGTAGGAAGACCACCGACCCGATAGTCAGAGCTATTCATAAAAATCCTAAAAGAACGATACAATGATGAGCGAGTCCCTCGTGCGAGCAGAACCGAATGAGTTACTGCTGCACGCGACAGAGATGTGGAAGCTTACTGGCAATCGTCGAGTCACTCGACTACTAACGGGACGACAGGCGGTGCACGTGGTATAGTATGGTTAATTTTGTAGTTAAGCACAAAGTGTTTATAAGGGTGAGTTTATAAGTTTTTAACAGTACAAAGAAAGAGGAATACATCTGGTACAACTTCTGCCTTCTTAACGCAACAGTTTTTCGCTTCCGTACATGGCTGAGATCCATCCCAGATGCAAGCAAAAATTTTGCACGACGAGCTTAATAATATGAAGCGATTAACTCAAACAACTATGCGAAAGCTGAATGACCTGTACTTCCAATCGACGCGAAGATCCAAAGGGAAGGATTACGTGCGAAAACACAAACGAAAACGAGAACTGCTCAACGAGAGTCATCAGGTGACTTTATCCAAAAGAATGTCCAGAACAAAAACAGGTAGAACTGTCTCTATAACTCTTTCTCACTAACAACATGATGAAGAAGACTCATGTTTCCAGAGGGAAAAAGTACTCCGAATTTCATTCGCAAACACCTGAAACAAATGGGAATAGCATGTTTTATTTTATTTATTTTACATGAGCTGTCTTCACATCTACTGCGCGGATTCCAGCACTTATTACATTCATTTGTTTCTTCGCACCCATTATCCACAAAGGTTTCAACTTTTCGAGTGTGAATTCGACTGCTGCTTAATAGTTGTTACATTCTCTATGAATGTCGTTAAATTCTTATCGAGTCGATTCTCGCTGAGTCCTAAGAAAGCCGTGCTAGACCATTTCCAAATGGAATGGAGAGAGTAGACCGATCCTAGACGTCTGGTACCACTGTACTAATCCTGGAATAATGGAAGCTTAGAGAGCCCGACGTGCTGGACCGAACCAAATTCCACATGTGTATTGCACAGCACCTCTGACCTTTGCACTGCATTTGCTCTTCAGGTCATTTAGAGCGTTAGAAACTTCACACAATGCCAAATAGCGTGTAGCGCTTCACTTCCATCAATACAATCACCTGTCGCAAAAAAATCTCGCACATTAACGTTGTGAAAAAAGTTTTGCGTATTAGTGTTCCCTTCCAGGTTCTGAAGATGTTATTGTATGGAAGTAAACGTATGCTGTTTAACAACCTCGCGATTGCTGAGGGAGAAAACGACGAGGAAGGTTTTGCTCTTTGCGGGACCTCCATTTATTTCTACCGGTTTAACGGGTTATGTGCTTAAAAGAAGTCGTTTACTACGCGAGTGGTAATTTATGCATTGAGTTTTCCCTTTTTGAGGTTATGGAAGTCCTTGGCTGAGCAGATTGCATGTTTGACCTCTCCAGACTCTGAAACAGGGAAAGCTGCCGAAATGTCGGCTATTGTGAAATAACTACTGTAATAGCAACCTCGTGTCTACTCATCATGAATAACGCTGAATTCTATATTAAACCTTAGACAGAGGGTTCCTTTTCCTATGCAGGGTCTCCGCAAACTGATAATAATTTCGACATCCTCATTCGTGACTCTGGTTAAAACCAAACTACAGTGAAAGCAAACAGTGGGAAATATACTATCAATACAAAAAGGAAGGCAAGTGAGTGTTTTCCTGACGCCTTCGGAAAACCATACCACATCTACCTTAGGATTCCAGAAAAATCTTGTCGAATAGGAGACGATGTATTCAACTATCCAAGTACCATTCGATGAAGTGAAAGGAACATTCGCATAGTGAAGAAGTTTTAAACACTCACGGTTTTGTTCTCTGCAGAACCTCCATTTATGTATGGGTTTTGTGCTTCAAAGTTGTTTACTACGCGAGTGGTAATTTATGTATTGAGTTTTCCGTTTTGAGGTTATGAAAGTTCTTGGCTGGGCAGATTGCACGTTACTCTAAATTTTGCAGGCTCTGAAGAAGGCGAAACCGTCGAAATGTCAGCTATTGTGAGCAAATAGTGTGATAAAAACCTCGTATTTGCCCATCAAAAAAGCGAACTATTGATCATTGCTGAGTTTGAAAGAAAGTCGGTTATGGGATTTGAAGCAGAGTTATTAGAAAAAAAGAATCGTCGACACCTCACCATGGCCAAGGTGACGCAGTGCCAGCTACGGTTAGAGAAAGGAATCTACGATAGGACAAAATAAAGCTACGATATCTCTCCATGTCGTATCTAAAGTTTTTTTCTCATACCAGGTTTTTTGAAAGCAATTTTTGATACAAAGTTCCCGTGTTGTTTTAGTTGAAGGTTGAGTTAAAAATATTCTTAAAAACATGCTCTAAAGTGATCTCTTCTGCCCTCGCATTCATTTACTTTACGTCTAAGCGCATAGAATCAGAATGTATTCTGAATACGAAAACGAAAAACTCTTCTCCTTCAACACAAGAATGTTGAAATGTGAACAAAACTCGGAACGTCACTTCGGTTTCGAACCCACGATTACGCTTTCCGGAAGCTCGTGTCATGTCTACCACACCGACCAAGGCAATTGCATTGCCTTTCTCTCGGCCAAATTTTTACCCTAGCGGTCCTATCAATAATCACTTCAGTGAGAACGATCTGGGGAGCAAAATCGACATTTTAAGTCCAGTTACGCTATGGCTGTTTTACTCTCTTCCATTTATTGTAGACATTAAGCCAAGAAAAGACCTCATTACCCATGAATTCACTGTCATCGTAGTAATCGATGGGCGTTGGTGTCGTCATTGAACTCGAATTCTTTTGACCGATTCTGGTAAAGATAAGAAGTTTACAAATCAGAGCAAAAACTAAGGAGCCTTACTATCTAGTATGGCTAAGACTCTGACAATATTTGCTTGTCTGGAGTTGATAGGAGCTCGTCCAAATGTTTTTCCAGAGAATTCGTAAAGAATAAAACAACTTCAGGACGTTAAACTGCAGTTCAATTAGTCAGTTCTAGTAGTTCATTAGAAATGTTCTGCTCGCTAGTTGAAGTAACACCTTTGGTACAATCGTCTCATATCATCTACGCACCTACACAGTACTCCCCAGCCTACATACCTAATCATGAATTCCACTTGGAGCAAAACAACGTCACACCACTTTAGATACTGGAAAAATAAAGTGGAAAATCAGATGGTGAAAAAAAAACAGTTATCATCGCTATCACTGCCCTATCACTATTTCTAACACTATCACCTGCGTTAATTGTTAGAGAAAACCTGTTTAAATGCCAAAGATAACAAAAAAACATAAATGATCCACATCCGTCCTTGTAATCAATTCAATTTCAACAGACAACAAAGGCAACAAATGAGATATAAGTATTTAGCCTAGTATCGATCACACCGGAAAGTGTAGAAGTCTCACTTGTAGAGAAAAGTATATCACAATCTATCCAGTACAGGCCCGGTTAGATTACTGTAAATATTAATCTGCATCAAAGATATGATATCGGAGGTCTTCCATGAAATCTCGACCTGCAGAATTTTGAAATTACAATTGAAAATTGTCGTGAGCATGTTCTAGCACTGATTCCGCTGGATATTTTCGGCTGTGACAAGCCTGAAGTCATCAGAAGTACTAGCGAATACAATGAAGCTGCACTCTGACCGTCTAAGAGATTCTTCAAGCAATCCGTGTATGAAAATCAGCGTTGACGAAATTCTGAATCAGGCTGGGACTCTGATCACACTGATTTGTATTGACTTCCGGATAGTTTCCAGTATTGCAAACCTCAAATCGCTTCAAGTTCGGCAGAATCCAATGAGGCTACACTGTCAGCCTAAGAGATTCCGAAAAGTATCTGTGTATGGAAATTGGCGTTAATGGGATTTTGGATAAGGCTAGAACTCTGATCACGCTGATTTGTGTTGACTACAAATTTCAAATCAGTACAAGATTTGTGGAATCCAATGAAGCTACACTGTAATCCTGGGAGATTGCGAAAAGTATCCGTCTGGAAATCAGCGTTCGTGAGATTCCGAAAGGCTGGCACTTTGATCTGATTGATTCGTATTGAGTTTCGGATACTCTCAGCTGTTAAAAACTTCAAATCACTACAAGTTCTGCGGAATCCAGTGAAGCTACACTGTCAGCCTAAGAGATCCTGAAAAGAATCTGTGTCCAGAAATCAGCGTTGATGGGATTCTGAAGCAAACGAAGACTCTGATCTTACTGACTTCTATAGATTTTTCAATGTCCTACTGAAGTACACAAACGGATGGAAGCTTTCCGATATTCGACGTTACCGTTCCAGGCAGCCGGTATCCATGGAATCCACTTGCACCGCCTTCCGGTTTGCCGATTTCTTCAATGCTCTCGAAAATCAATAGGACACACATTTCGCTACATCGATTGCCTCACATGGGACAACATTACTGACTAAACTGCGCCATTATTCAGAACATATCACGATCATTTGATCTAACAAAAAATCGATACCGTCGTTGATCAACCGATCAATATCCACCTTTCGCCGTTGATCCTATCGTTTCCTGACGAATTATTCAGAATTTAACTCTATCCTTATCAATTACGGAAAAAATTAAAAGTTTGGATTTCAGCTTCTGGAATAATAATCAACGTGGGAAAAGAGGAATGATTCTCGTAAATAATTTTCCAAGCCTAGGCATTGCTTTAGTCGATGGTCAGCCCCTAGTAGCTTTAGTGTACCAGTCTGATATCCTTAGTAGCTCTCTCTACAGAGTTTAGGGATAAATTATGCTCAGTCTTGAATTCCTCACTACATCTACTTTCAAATCATCAATTTCTGTTAGTTTTTTCTTCAGGACATGTAGAATAGGATGGCTCCAGTATTACACAACCATCGCTATTGATTAGATTTTTTCTATAAGTAATTCGGCAAATAGCTGAATGAGTCGGAACTCGAGTCTGGGACAGTCCAGAAAAAGCTCATAAACCAAATGAACCATTCAAGCTAGAGGTTTTTGGCTGGAGCTTCCCCTCTAAGCTTTTGTTCTTTCCAGATAAAAGAGGTCCAAACCTTAAGCCTCCTTAAAAAAATCCAAACACAGATATTTAATAATTTATTTTGCCAGTATAACTTTACGAAACAGTTCTGGGTTAATCTACAAGGACTCCACTTCCTTTCCTAGGAAGACGAAAAGCAGCACTTTTAATCTGTGCTTTTCAATCAAGAGATTGAATGCATAATCATCACTAAGGAGGAAGACATAAAAACAGTAGGTTTTCAGACCATTAGAGTCGAACAGCCTAAATACTCTTAGCAGAAACGAGTGAAAGTATCATACTCCTTGCAGTTCTTAGTATCTCCGCTACTCAGAATGTTCACTTCAAATCTATCTTCTTACGATTTGGAATCAATTCGTATGAATAAGGAAATGTCCTCTAAATTTACATCCAGTAGCCATGAACAGAACCGTACTTGAAGACAAGATGTCCCCGGATATTCTAAACGGAACACGAACACCGCCGCGTGATTACTTGTTGTGGAGATTGATGGGCGGAGAAACTCCGCGAGGACACGGCGCACCCGGCTCCTCTGGGACATGGCGCACCCGGCTCCTCGGGGACAGTGCCATTTCATGGCGTCCTTACCTAATTATGCGATCTGATGTGCGGCCGCGTCTTGTGCTTCCCCCATTTTTGGGATTTTTTATTCATTTTCCTTACAAAAGCTTCGTAATGAGTAGTTTATCTCCTGATTAAAAGTATTTACTCATCTCTATTCCAAATTTTCGAATAACTAGTATTTCCTTTGGAGTTTCAGTACCGCATCGATTGATTATTGATCATTATGACTGAAGTGGATCGCGTTGAGGAAGTCGTGGAAGGTATGGATTAAGGTTTCCCTTAACCTTTAACGTTTCTAAAAACTAATGATTGCAAAATGAACGGCTACGTGTCGCCTCATGCATGGCGCTTATGAAACGATGAAAAATCGATACTTTGCACTTTGCTGTTCAGTAGCACTCACCAAGTATTAGGTAGATGAGTGAGTACTGAATGAGTACTAAATGAGAAGTGGTTAGTTTTAGATGATCCGATGGAAGAAGATTCTTTGCTGACGAATGATGTCGATGATACGGAAATTGTAGAGGGAATAGACGACGAACAAGAGGAATACGGTGGGCAGATGTTTCGTTAAGGTTTAAGCTTCGTAAGAGCAAAGAGGGGTCCGAGTCTCTAACCTGGCAATCTTAACCTGTGACTGTGACTGGCTGTGACTTTGTAGTAGTTTTGAGAGAAGTTAACAGGAGGAATACGGTGGGCAGACGTTTCCTTAAGGCTTGAGCTTCACAAGAACAAAGGTGTTTCTAGTCTTTAACCTGGGAACCCTAACCTGAAAGGCTGTGTAGTAATTCTGACAGTAGTTGTTTCATAGCGTGGTTTGAGCCTTTACTGTACTCGTAGTGGAGGATATAGAAGATTATAGAAATGATGTGCTTCACATTCACTGAACCATTATTGATTGACAACCTCCGGTACTTTATTCTGGTTGGATTTGAGTTTCGAAACGCTTGCTATGTGGCAAATTTAGCTCCAACAAAGATTACTACTGCTTTAGTACGACAACCATAGAGAAAATCTTTGTCTAAGGTCACAGTGTGATTTCAGATAAGGCAAAAAAGAGTAAGAAAAGCCGATCGCGCAAGTCGAAAAGCGGGTCCAGGAAAAGGATGGAGTATCCAGACCCTGCCATCACGTCATCGGCAGAGATGTGTGCCGCTTTGGACGTACAGGATGTCACTATAGAGTATACTGAGGAGGATTACAATACAATCACCAATTTAAAGGCGAGAATTTTGTCGTCTTACTTCACCTCACTTATGTCCCTTCTTGTTCTAAATCCGGTAATCATACCAATATTTCCTATCATCCGAGTTGAAGCCTGCTGAGAGAGCTCTGAGTAGAGAGTGGCAAGGTTACTTCACAAATCGCAGATGTATTTTCCATCTAGTTCCTCTCGTTGTCCATAACTGGTTGATGGAGCTCGAAGGAGAAGGAACCGTTTGCAGGGGAACTCCTTGACGACCAAGAACTTGCTGTACATGCGAGTGAAGTCCAGAGACTCTTCAAAACTTGTATTTTTTAGAGTTTCATCCATCGAGTACGACCAACAATCCTGGAGGCAAATCCGAAATGTAATGCAACTAAAGTCTATCCACTAATTCAAGTGAAATATCGCGAATTTCATGAGGAGCTTACAGCACAAGGTCGTTCTCAAGCTGTGAAAAAGGCCGTAAAACAGTGAGTCTTGTTGGTCAGCAACTGTCTTGTCAGTTGAATTCAGCATCCATATCCTACTTACAGACCAAAGCCAGTTCCATCTGAGCAGGACAAGCTCGTAGCACCGATTAAAATTCGAATCTCTGCACGAAAGAAGCGAAAGAACGACTCAGATGAGGAAGGTGGTATGGTTGTCCACAATGTTTCTTTCCATTTTTCTTTTCCCTTTATGCTACCACATTTACCGTGTCATCTTTCTGAATCTATCTTTATTGTTGTAGCTGTTGATAGTGACCAAGAATTCGAGTCCCTCTTAAAACAACACGAGCATCAGCTAGACGAGGAGGACAAAGAGAAAGAGGAAAGGAAAGCTAGTCGGTGAGTTTGCAATTGTCTCCTTTGTGTCTCATATTCTTCCATTAGATTGATACTACCAGTCATTATTACAGCGCCGCTCAACGAGCTGACAAGAAGAAGAGCGCTCTTGAGAAAGCACAAGCATCAAGGAAAGTTAAGCGAGCTAGAGGGGAAGACGAAGAGGTACGACGTTTAACTAGTCTTTAAACTAACTAATATTAGATTTTCTTAGATTGAGCATCAAGACTATTGCGAAGTATGCAGACAAGGTGGAGAGATAATTCTGTGTGACACATGCCCTCGTGCTTACCATACTGTATGTGTTGACCCCGAAATGGAACAACCTCCAGAGGGTGATTGGAGTTGTCCATATTGCGAAGAGCATGGCCCACAGGTGATTCAAAAAGAAGAGGAGCCGGTGAAGGTTAATATGGAGTACTGCAGAGTGTGTAAGGTCAGTAAAAATTTCTTCGAGAAGCTTCACGAATTTTACAAAGTCCTAGCTGGGGAACCAACCATTTTATAAGTAATGAATTTTTATTCAGCAGTTCTTAGACAGGAGTGAAACCGGAAGTTGTTAGCATATTTTTCTTCATGCTCTTATGAGGTTAGAGTTAACGATGATCGAAGATCTATTTAAGCAACAAGTAATAAGAGATTGAAGGATGGTAATAACGTTGTTAGGGGGCGCGTGTAGCGCAGTGCTTGGAGGCGCCCTACAATACACATGGAATCGATCCCCAAGCCCCAGGCTCACCAAGCCTTCCATCTCTCCGGAGTCGGTAAATTGGTACCATACTTGTTTGGGAGGATAGCAGCACTTGCTCGATACATTCGTAGGTCACTGCGAATCATTATGAAGGTCAAATTTGCATTAAATCACTTCCAGCGATGCTTAATGAAGTCGAATGCATGGCGCATCTCTTAGGGATTGATCAACGCCGAAAGCTTCATCCTTTTTACCTTCTAATAACGGTGTCGTTTTTAGGGTGCGGGATCATTACTTTGTTGCGATAATTGTCCGAGCTCTTTCCATGCATATTGCATCAATCCTCCTTTAAATGAGGTATTTCTTCCAAGGATTATTTCTTAATCATTAGCGAGGACGTAAAGCATTTCGCAGGTACCTGAGAACGAATGGCTTTGTCCCAGATGTACCATTCCTGAACCAAAACAACGCCCGGAAAAGATATTATGCTGGAGATGGATTGAAGTACCATATCCTGATCCAGTTGATGTGAAAAGCAGCGAAGACCAGACTAGTGTGCGTATCTGGAGTGCGGTCATTTCTACGAGAAATATCACTGTGCTTTTAGGAAACTATTCTTCTTCGTCCACTTCGCAAAATGGAACCTCGTCGTGAAAGAGAGTTCTTTATCAAGTGGAGGTATATGTCGTATTGGCACTGTGAATGGGTCAGCGAGATGCTTATGGATGTTTACTTCGCAGCGGTAACTTTCATGCTGTTACTCAAGCTGGATCGCCTAAATGGTCTCCTTAGTGTTTGGGTTTTAGTTATTGCGCATGTACTGGCGCAAATATGACTCTGAGAATCCGCCGGTTTTCGATGAGTCCACGGCACAAAGACATCATAAAGATAATGATCCATACGAACTTCGTGAGAAGTTTTACCAATATGGAATTAAACCTGAGTGGATGCAGGTTTGATTGCTGATGTTTTTCATCGATTTAATCTCTAAGTACAAGAAATATTTGTGATTCATGACCTGCAGGTGCACCGAATTATTAACCACATGCAGTACGGAAAAACCCAGTTTGATTACCTCGTCAAGTGGAAAGAGCTTGCTTACGAACAGGCTACGTGGGAGAGAGATGACATGGACATAGCGTACTACGAAGACGCTATTAACAAATATTGGATTCATCGGTGAGTAATATTGGGAAGATAGACCTTGCCTCGAGTTAGTAATCAGTTATTCACTGAAAACTAGCTCACAGAAAGGGAAACGAAGAACCCACATGGTGTGGAAGTGAACGCGTTAGCCCCAGGAAAGGGTAGTAGCGCATTCGTTCTCCAGCGTAGACACCTGCGGTCCGGAGTTTTGTAAACATCTCAGCATCATTGTGGTTGATTTCGTCTAATAGGCTGCGGTGAAGATTTGTAGTAGGTAGTAAATAAAAAGTTAAAATTATTCGCTGATTGTTTTTTTAGAGAAAAGATGCTTGGTGAGCCGATTCCAAAACATATAGCGAAGAAAATCGCCGCGCAACGGGAGAAGAAGGGCCTGCCACCGCTCGAGAGCACAGATGAACCGTTGAGTAAGAAGAAGAAGAGGGATAAACCTGTTACTGATGTAAATTCATATATACCCAAAAAAGAATTACGATACACAGTTACTGTTGACATCTTTTAGATTCGTAAGAAATATGAGGTTCAACCGGACTTCATCACAGAGACCGGTGGATCTCTTCATCCTTATCAGCTCGAAGGTAGGGCGAATTTTGCTATCAAAATTTCGTTTAGTTGGATTTTTATTGAGTGTTCTTAAGGTATCAATTGGCTACGACATTGCTGGTCAAATGGCACGGATGCTATTCTTGCTGATGAAATGGGTCTTGGAAAAACCGTGCAGTCGCTTACCTTTCTCTATACCCTTATGAAGGAGGGTCATTCTAAGGGACCATTTCTGGTAATTTCATATTTTTGTCATTTTTGCACTTTGTTTAGGATGAATGTACTTCTACTTTTCCTAGATTGCGGCTCCTCTTTCGACCATCATCAATTGGGAGCGTGAGGCGGAGCAGTGGTGTCCAGACTTTTATGTCGTTACTTACGTAGGAGATCGTGATTCCAGAATGGTTATCCGTGAACATGAGTTTTCATTCGTCGAAGGAGCTGTAAAGGTATAAAGGCATCAATAATACGTTTTAGATGTAAGAGGAATCGATCGTGTCATTCTTATAGGGTGGTCCGAAGGCGTCACGAATCCGTTCACAAGAGAATATGAAGTTCCATGTCCTTCTTACTTCTTATGAGTGCATAAACATGGACAAAGCTAGTTTCTTTTTATCAATTAATCTGAATGGTGACTTCCTATCATAGTTAATTAACGCTGGTTCAGGCGATCTTGTCATCGATTGAATGGGAGGCATTGGTCGTTGATGAGGCTCATCGTTTAAAAAACAATCAGTCCACATTCTTCAAGAATCTACGGTGGGCAGTACTATTCCATATGTTATAAGTATAGATTAACGCTATCTGTTCAGAGAATACAACATCAATTATCGGGTACTTTTAACGGGAACTCCGCTTCAAAACAACCTGGAGGAATTGTTTCATTTACTCAATTTTCTGGCTCCAGATCGTTTCTTGTATGTCATTTCTAAGTAATCACATACTCTGCATTGAACATCCTCATCAGTTATCAATTAAGAGCGTTTATAGAGTTTTCCTTCTTGTTTTAGTGACCTGGAGTCGTTCACGCTTGAATTTGCTGAAATTTCGAAGGAAGATCAAATCCAGAAGTTGCATTCACTTTTGGGGCCACATATGTTGCGCCGTCTGAAGGCTGATGTTCTCACGGGAATGCCATCAAAGAGCGAGCTGATCGTTCGAGTTGAGCTAAGTCCTTTGCAAAAGTAAGGTTTAGTTGCTGTACACAAATGGAAATGAAGCACCGAGAACAATAGTTGTTTAGAAAGTATTACAAGAATATCCTAACACGGAATTTTGACGCTCTTAATGTCAAGAATGGCGGATCGCAAATGTCGTTGATCAATATCATCATGGAGCTTAAGAAATGTTGTAATCATCCATATTTATTCGCCAAGGCCAGTTTGGAAGCACCAAAGCTCAAGAATGGAATGTAAGTGATATTGGTTGTATGTGTGGTTTAGCTATGTTATTTGGTTTGCTTTTAGGTATGAGGGAACTCAACTGATAAAAAGTGCTGGTAAATTTGTGCTTCTGCAGAAAATGATGAGGAAGTTGAAAGAGGACGGCCATCGGGTTTTGATATTCTCACAAATGACCATGTGAGTGGATATGTCCCATCAGTGCTTTCCTAAATATGGTTTCTCTTCAGGATGTTGGATATTCTTGAAGATTTTTGCGAGGTTGAGTCGTACAAATACGAACGTATTGATGGTTCCATCACAGGGCAAGCAAGACAAGATGCTATTGATAGATTTAATGGTATTTTTTATCTTGGTTTTTGTTAGGTGTTTAAAAATTGAGGCCTACTTCCGTACGTGTTTTAGCCCCGGGTGCTCAACAGTTTGTATTTCTTTTGTCAACTCGTGCTGGCGGACTGGGGATAAACCTTGCAACAGCAGACACCGTTATCATTTATGACTCAGATTGGAATCCACATAATGACATCCAGGTTTCTTTTTTGTCATAATGGAAATTTTAGAAAAAGAAAGAAAAATAATATAATTGTGCTTGAACGTTAAAAATAACGCGAAATTTTTACCTTAGAATAGGGAGGAGGTTTTGATTGGCAAGTTCGAATTATCTGCTAGAAGACATTGCGAAATAATCGTCACATGGGCTGGCAAACAAAAGTAGTTTAACCACAATGATGCTGAGATATTTGCAAAACTCCGGACCGCTGGTGTCTACGGTGGGGATCGAACGCGCTAGTATCCTTTCCAAGGCCTAACGCGTTCACCACCGCACCATGCGAGTCCTTTTCGCCTTTCTCTCAGTGTGTTATTGACCTAAAGGTGCTATCAACATTCATTCGTGGTTTATTTTAGGCGTTCTCTCGCGCTCATCGTATAGGGCAGCAGAATAAAGTTATGATCTATCGCTTTGTAACGAGAAATTCTGTGGAAGAACGGATAACGTCCGTTGCGAAAAAGAAAATGTTACTGACACATTTAGTTGTCAGGGCTGGACTCGGTCAAAAAGGGCCAAGTATGAGTAAATCAGAACTTGACGATGTCCTTCGGTAATTAAAATTTTTGCTTCAATGTTCTTTTTTCTAGGTTCATTGTGAATACAATGATTGAATAAACCATTGCGTCACTTAATCACGTCTCATTAAGTCATTTCAGGTGGGGGACGGAGGAGTTGTTCAAAGATGATGAACCAACAGGTGAAGCAACCGAGGGAGAAGGTAAGAAGGCCAATGAGAATGAGATCGTATGGGACGATGCCGCTGTAGATGCTCTTCTTGATAGATGTAGAGACAGTGATCTAAAGGTTCATTAAATCCTCTTTTGGTTTCTCTACTATAACTGTATCCGTATTGCCCGTCTTCTTAATTTAAGGACAAGGATGGTGAGAAGAAAGAACATTGGACTAACGAGTATCTCAGCTCATTTAAAGTTGCCACATATACCACAAGAGAAACCGATGACAAAGACGAAGAAGAGGAAGAAGAGATGGAGGTTTCTCTATCACACAGTTCATCAAACAACCGTTTTTTTTTTATCAACAATCCCACCCTTGATGTTTATCTTCTGCTCAGGTTATCAAAGAGAATGACAAAGAACCTGATCCTGATTACTGGGAAAAGTTGCTGCGGCATCATTATGAACAAGATCAGGAGATGGAGGCACAGAAACTCGGTAAAGGGAAACGACTTCGTAAACAGGTCAACTATGCGAGTGAGAATATGGGGCAAGATTGGCAGAATCGTGGAGGAGAAGTAGTGGTTTGTAGTCTCCGTTGAGAATTGTAATAAGCTATCCAACTTTTTGGTTTTAGCAACAGAATAACGATGACGACGACCTCTCCTCCTATGATGGCGGCTCAGAGAAAGCCTCTGGTGAGCACTCAGATGACGATTTTGAGGGCATTGGAGGAGAGAAGAAGAAAAAACGTGAACGAGATTCGGAGAAACTTCCCCCGCTTCTTGCTAAGGTTTGTTTCTGATTTTTGCTAAGTTGTTCGAACATTAACGTGGAACGCGTCGTTTTCTTGTTTAGTAATCGCGAGGTTGTTATACAGCATACATTTGCTTCCATAGCAAAACACAATACAATACAACGCTAGCTGATGTTTCGGCAGTATCGCCTTCTTCAGAGCCTGGAAGGGTACACTGATATACAATCTACTAGGCCAAACGCTTCAATAACACTTACAAGAAGACGGAAAACTATGGTAATTACGTGATCAACAACTTCTCGAAACACACCCCTTTTTTCGCGATTTCCAATGAGGAAGATTAGACAGCTGATTATAGTCGCATATGGTTGATGACTGCACCATCCCACATCAGAAATTGATACGAAGATACGGGGCCAGATCACATGTGACCTCTGGGTATTCCTGCTATTTCATTGCGGAGTCTTTTATACAAATTCCAAAAAATTTTGTGCCAAAATCTTTAATATAAATGCCAACAAAAAATACCAGGGAGGAATACCCAGAGGTCACATGCGATCTGGCCCCGTATCTTCGTATCAATTTCTGATGTGGGATGGTGCAGTCATCAACCATATGCGACTATAATCGGCTGTTCTAATCTTCCTCATTGGAAATCGCGAAAAAGGGGTGTGTTTCGAGAAGTTGTTGATCATGTAATTACCATAGAGTTTTTCGTCTTTTTGTAAGTGTTATTGAAGCGTCTGGTCTAATAAATTGTATATCACTACGCCCTTCCAGGTTCTGAAGAAGGCGGTTCTGCCGAAACGTCAGCTACGATTGTGTTGTATGTGTGCTATTGTATGGAAGTAAACGTATGCTGTTTAATAGCCTCGCGATTGCTGAATTGGCATTCATATTCCTATGCTGAGGTTAATAGAAAGTCGATCTTGTGAACTATTAATGTGGAATTTCTAATTTCAGTTTCACGGAATATGTTTTAACAATAGGTTTTTTTCGAGTACTGTACTATTTATTATATGTCATTACAAAGCATATTATAAATTGTGTTATTCCAAATTTTGAAAGTTGGAGTTTCAGCTTTCAAACAGCAATTTTAGCAGATTAAATTGTAGGAATATAATTTTGGACATTGGGTAGCCAAATGGAAAGAAATATTAATGGAGCATAGAGCCAAGAAGTGTTAATGAACACAAAGTGCAACGTCGGTTTGGAAGATTTTGTTGTGGAGAATTGAAGATTGAAGATGAGTGGTGTCGCTACCGTCCTGCTGTAGACTACAATGAAGGTTTCGGTGGAAGCAAATACGGGTAAAACTTCGAGGACTAGCGGAAGGACTCCATATAAGCTTCCCAAGACTCTCGAAGCACCCTAAAAAGTTAGAACGCCGAAGAAGCTTTACAAATGTGTGTCGTCCGACTGAATGACAATCAAAGAAATCGCCGTCTTGAGGTATGATTGGCGCTTTCTACGCTCAATCAAAACGATCCGTTTCTCGACCGTATTATGATGTGCAACGAATAGTGGATTCTCTATGGCAACCGGAAACGATCGGCTGGTATGGTAGGACCGAGGTGATGTTCTACAGCACTTAAACCGAAATTACACCAAAGAAAGGGAATGGTGACCGTTTGGTGGTTTAGCGCTGGTTTGAGCTACCACATCTCCCTGGAACCGGGTAGAAGGATCACGGAGGATAAGTACGTCCGCCAAATCGACGAAGCGCATCAAAAACATCAACGGCTACTTTCCTAGTTGGTCCATTGAAATCTTTCTCAATAATAACTGCCACGCTACTACCGCCTCAGAAGTTTATCTAATTGGCCTACGGAACTCTGTTTTACCCACCTTACTCAGCTAATCTCTCGCCTACCGAGCACCACTTCAATTTATTCGATAATTTCCTATGCGGTATATGCTTCAGAAACCCGCCCGAGGCCGAAACTGGCTTTAACGACTTTATCGCCTCCAGAAATCCAAAGTTCAAGGCAGCTGGTATAAATAACCTTGTTTCTCGTTGGAAAGAATGTTTAGATTCTAATGGCTGTTATTTCAACTGTTTTTTAGCTGATATGTGCTAAATTGAAGATCCAAGTTAAAATTAGATTTTGGTTTCCGAAAAATCCAGTGTAATCAATTTCGAACTGAGACTTGCTGTTGTTACTCTTTAGGTCAATGGTCAGCTTGAAGTACTTGGCTTTAATCCTCGACAACGTCGCGCGTTCTACAATGCTGTAATGCGCTGGGGAATGCCTCCACAAGACGCCTATCAGTCCCAGTGGCTTGTATGTGTAAACTCTACATGGAGTATATTTTCAAAGTATATAGCCACTCATATTTTCAGACTCGCGATCTAAAGGGAAAGTCCGAGCGTGCTTTTAAGACGTATACATCCTTGTTTATGAGACATCTTTGCGAACCAGGAGCAGACACTCAGGAGACGTTTAACGATGGTGTTCCTAGAGAGGGCCTTAATAGACAGCATGTACTTACACGTATCGGAATTATGAGTCTAATCCGTAAAAAAGTTCAGGTTTGTTCATTAAATATCTTATTATTTAGTGTTTCTGGAGCAGTTCTGCATACCATTACTCTTAAGGAATTTGAGCAAGCCAATGGTGAATGGTCGATGCCTGAGATGCGCACAAAAGTATTAGAAGCTGCTGGAGCTAGTGCAATGAAGACTACATCGTCATCAAAGGCCAGCAGCCGAGAGCAGAGCGTCGCTCCAGAAGATCGCAAGGAAGACAGTAATGACGCTCCAATTGAGTCACAGGAGTTTGTGAATGTGAGCATAGTGTTTCAGCCAGTTTTCATTTTTTTTCAACTGCAACAATAATGAAATATGAGCCAGAATTACTATTTTCGCTCTAATTTTAGCACTACTGTGGTTGCATACTATGCCTTGAAAAAAATCTAGTAGGCACTAAGTAAAAGTTAAACATTGTGTTTTCTCTAAACTTGGACTCGGGGATAAGTCAGACCACGATTACCTCGTTTTCGGGCTCTTTTTATGGCAGTGTTACATAAACAGCTAGCAGGGTGAAATCCAAAGCAAGGGCCTCAGTGGTGCAGTATGTAATACGCGAGCCCTCGGAAGCGGTAATCGTGGTTCGTTCTGGCCCACAGTCAAAATTTTGCGAACATCTCAGCATCGTTTTGGTTGTATTTCACATTATACCATGCCGTGTAAAAATTATAGTAGGAGTGAAATAAAAAGCCAACGTTGCGACTTCTCTGAGTAAATTTTATATACATTTATAGCACAGTATTAACACAAGTAGGATATAGTTGTTTTTCACTCATACATGACAGAGGGAAAGGTGTTTACATTGGCCGCAACGTATTGGTTAGAATTCGCAACATGTTCAGCGGAGAAATGAGGCATCTTTTAGATCAAAAGACATTAAGCGTCGTACCCTAAGCGTTAAGGCATGCCGTTTTCTGAACCGAGTGCAATTGTTCATAACTACGTAGAGCTTTTTGTAGACAGACGCCGAAAATGCATCTTCGACTGCACTTGATTCAAAAGAAGAATCTAATGCAACGTCCACTGTTGAGGAAGAGAACGAGGAGCCCAAAAGGACCGAACGGCCAACATTTAAATTTAACCTGGCTGGCATGTTATCCCGATTTCCCATTCTTCTCGTTCATAATGCATACAATTCAGTATAATACTTTCAGTTTAATGTGTTTTCAGATGGTGGTTTCACAGAATTGCATACCTTATGGTTAAATGAAGAAAAAGCGGCTGTTCCTGGTAATGAATATGAGATTTGGCATCGACGCCATGACTATTGGCTGCTAGCTGGAATCGTGCAGTATGGAGTATTCTGCTTATTTGAGTTGCTCCCTTTTAGCGTTTTTTAACTCATGCTTTTAGGTACGGTTATGGTCGATATCAGGATATCCAAATGGATCCACGTTTCGCCATCATCAATGAACCTTTCCGTCAAGAGCAAGGAAAAGGGAACTTCCTTGAAATCAAGAATAAGTTCCTCCAAAGGCGTTATAAGGTCAGTTATACTATGCGTATACGTATGTTCAAGTGCGCATGTAGCACGTGCTATGAGGCGCCCTGCAATACACAGGATCGATCCTCGCGCCCTAGGATCACCAAACATTCTATACCTCTGAGGTCGGCAAATGCTACCAGACTTGTCTGGGAGGATAGAAGCACTGGCTCGATACATCGATAGTCCACTGCGAGTCATTTTATTGGCCAAATATGCATTCAGTCACCTCCAACGATACTTAATGGAGAATGCATAGGGCATCCCTCAAGGATTGATCAACACCGAGAGGTTTATCCTTTATCCTCTATTTATATACATACAGTTATAAAAGAATTATATAGGCGAAAAATTTTTTCGGTTTATAGTTATTGGAGCAAGCACTGGTAATAGAAGAGCAGCTTCGACGTGCTGCTTACATGAATCTGCAAAACAGTACTACCGATGGAACTGCTCAATTAGCGCAACGTTTCGCTGATATCGAAAACGTAGCCGATTCACATGCGAATGTTGCAAAAGATTCTGCAGCAGGCAACCGTAATGCAAATGCAGTTCTGCACAAGGGTCGGTTTGATTACAATTTTAAACATTTTCGAATGAAGTTTGTGAACTATAAATGATAGCTTTAGTTCTTAATCAATTGGAAGAATTGCTATCGGACATGAAGGCAGATGTCTCTCGGCTGCCGGCAACCCTTTCACAACTTCGTCCCGTTACGCACAGATTAGCTATGACCGAAAGACAGTGAGTCAGATCAAAAGTTTTCTTCAGTGTAACGATAAAATACATCATACGTAGTTTTGATTAGACTTCATATTCATCAGGCGTTGTCATTTCAGAATTCTTTCACGTCTAACTTCGAAAGATCCTGATGCTTTGGCAGGTCGCTCACCTTTACCTCCCCCTGGGCCATTCGTCACTCCTACTTTAGGGCAGCAGTTATCAGGAATACAACCGAAATTCGCTGCGTTGCATCAGCCTGGGAAGGTGAAATCCCCACGTTGTAATCCGTTCGTTGTGTGATTTACTTCGGTGATAAGAAATGTTCAGATGTCAAGCATGTTTGCTAGTTCTTTCGCCGTTCCTTCTTCATGTGATACAGCAACGGAAAAAAAGTCAGGTTAGAACTTTAGCCACCTGTTTGGTAGGTTTATCTTTGATACCTTAGGTTAACCTCGGAACCACTATAGCAAATATGCTGACCTTTTCCAAGTGTTGTTTACTATTTTGCTTAAAGCCATTGAAGCTGGAGAGTTTTCGTCAAAACGAGCAATGGAAGAGGAAACACCAATGGATCTCTCGGCACCACCAACCGCAGAAAAGGCCGAATAAAACTTCCGTTTTTAATACTTCATCATGATAATCCTGGTAATCGTTCCCGGAAATTCAGATCTATAGGCCAGATGGTGTGTGTTAAACTTTCATTTATTGTTTCACATGGTTGAGGTAACTGCTTATATCTGTTTGGTTTAAAAGTGTAAGCTTTCATATTGTTTTTTTCATTCCTTTATTTATTTTCTCATGTATTTATTGTTAAGACCACGTGATGTCGGTATCCGATTGTTTTCTTTTTGTTCCCTAATTATCTGTATGTCTACATTTTGGATAAATATGTCGTTATAATCCGGCTGATTCAGATATTTTGGCAGTTTTTAACGAAATACTTATCTTACTTTATTCGGGAACGGTTGACGGGTGGAACTGAGTTTCCTTGCAGGTCAATGGCGTTGAGGAATCTTGATTTGCGCGGATTCATTTTGTTAAGAGGTTATTGATTCGTATCGTTCATTAGAATTCAAAGTGAACAAAAGTAAAGTCGTCCGTAAGAAATGGAGTACATTGTCAGACAATCAATCGTGTCGTGGTGAAGCTTTGGCTTTTGCATTGCTTCGATCAGCGAAAACACTGCTTATCTTCACAATTCAAGGCAGGGAAATCGTTCTACGAAGAAGATATGGAGCACTGTGCAAAAGGTAATGAGTAAGCCAGCTGCGTAGTAAATTGGAAAGATTTCTGGTTATTGTAGAGGATACCCATTTACTTCCAGAGCAGTTTTTGTCTATGTTGACTATGCAGCACCGCTGGAAACTGTGATGTGCAAAGGATTTCCTTCTGACGCTTCCGCCTGCTTGTTGGACTGTGTCGACATACTTGTAGACAGTTACGGTGTAGATGTCGTAGCAACCTTCATATTTCAAGTAAAAGGTGCGCTTAACTGATTTTTTTTTGTGTAAATGTGCTCAGGGAGCGTGTAGCGCAAGGGTCGGAGGCGCACTGCAATACACTTGGGATTGAACCTTGCGCCCCAGGCATACTAAGCCCTCAATCCCTCCGAGCTCAGCGAATTGGCACCAATCTCGTCTAGGAGGATAACAGCACTGGCTTTATACAGGCCACCGCGAAGCAGTGTAAAAGCCAGATATGCATCTATTCACCTCCAGCGATGCTTAATGAAGATCACCGCAATCACTCCATAGCGCATCTCTCAGAGACTGATCAACGCCGAGAGATTTAAATTATTTGCTTTTGATTAACAGATACGACAAGGTGTACTGAATTCTATAAGAACCTCTTCAGTGGTGTATAAAGCTCGATGAAGCTTTATCACAGAACTTTAATTAATTTGATAGATTATCCAATAGAGATGTATCAGGTGTGACATATGAAAGCCTGTTATCTACCCCTAATATCAGGTTTACGGGAAGTAATTTCGGATTCTAAATTTCACTTCTCATCCCATACTTTAGCATGTTTTTTTTTCGAACATCATAATACTGTATACCATTGCGCTCATTTTATGAACCTTCGGTCCATATAAGTCAGCTATAATATGGATCGCATTTTTGATAAATCTTAAAGGTCTAAATATGATACGTCAAAATGAGTTTCGATGAATTCGATTTTACGGATTCATACTCGGAGGTAGTGTACCGCAAACGGCTCAGAACTTTGATCAGACATGAGGATAAGGAAGTGTTAACGAACACAAAGTGCAATGATTGTTTGAAAGTTTTGACGTTGAAGAATCATTCAATGGTCGGTTTCAACTACACCTGGTCAATGTGAACCACAAGCACATCCGCTCATCTTTATGCGGGCTTCAATCCTCATATTAACCATGCCCAGTCTCTCGGTATTTGTCCATTTTTGGCCAACTCTTCCAATTGTCCGACCGGCCTGTCGTTGCTTACGTGGAGATAGACTGGGTATGGATAATATGGGGATGGAAGCGCGCCTAAAAAATGGGCGGGCATGCTTGCGGCTCACATAGAACAGATGCAGATGAAAGCGACCATGAAATGATAGTCTAAGATGTCGTCGTATACGAAACAAACCACTAATTATAAATGACGATCGCGAAGTATCAAAGTCGCATGGTGGCAAATCTCCCTCTGATTCACAAGGGCTGCGACTGCCTGTCGTGGTGACGACCCGAAGCAGACTTTGCCCAGGCTAGCCTCGGAATTCCAGGGAACTACAATGGCTTAATCGGGAAATCTCCGAAAAATGGTGATTATGCTGAGGCCCGCACAACCAGTGAGGACGGGCCATTCAAGTATCAAGAGGTGGTAGAATTTGGTAGTATTCTTTTCCCAGAAGTTAATCATCCATCCTATTTTAGCCTGAACTTTATTTGGTGGTAGTAGTTTGACTGGGAAGTGGGTAGAACAGTGGTAGTGGTGCGTTTCATCAAGAGTATGATGCTGGTTCGACCTCATACCTAGTTAACCGATCTTGAAATTCCTGTATACGAAAGTTGCTAGCGGCCTTATCTAGGATCAGCCAAATTCCTCAAATCGACATGAAAATGCTCTAGCATGGCTGTCCCGGGAATCAGGGTGAATCGACTGCGCCAGCATTCAACGACAATCATAAAAAATGAAAAGGATAGAGCTCTCGGTGTTGTTCAGTCCCTGGGGGATGCGCCATGCATTCGACTTCATTGAGTGGGCCATCCGACCACTGCTCCACATGGGCCCATCGAAATTCATAAATAGGACAACCTTCAAGCGGCATCTGGATCTATCCAAAAAATAGGAAGACTTTTGTGAATAATGGATAGGAGGAAACGAATCGAATGAAAGAAGCGCTGGGATCGGCACAGTAGCTGTGTAAACGTCGTATCAAATAAAAAAAAATTGGAAAAGTGTACATACACGCCAACGTGGTTTTGCCATTGGTGAAAATTAGTAACAGAAATTGTGTGCTTAAGGAATTGGGTTTTTCAACTTCCCTTGTATGATTTTAGGATTGAAAATGTCTATGCTATAAGGAAGATCGTTTGTTAAATACTTTGTCCTGATGGCATCGGTTCGCATCCGAACACTACGGAGATTGCAAACAGACGGAACTGAATTGTTTTATACAGATTGCATTGTACATTTTTTTCCTCAGATTGCACGGTTGTATCTGCGAAAAGAACTGATTTAATATGAAACGTGTCGCAGAGAGTGTATGTGCGACTAAAGAAATAGTAGGAAAAAAGATGCTAAAACCAATGCATTGTCGCGAATCTATCAACAAGCGGCCGATGACATTCGGTTAACATCTGTTCGTACATTGCTAGAGGTACTACAAAGGTACAAAGATAAAGCTGTCAGCATTGATCAATCCTTGAGGGATGCGCAGTGCATTCGACTTCACTAAACATCGTTTGGAGGTGACTGAATGCATATGTGGCTCGCCGTGGCCTACCAATGTATCGAATCAGTGGTGCTATCCTCCCAGATAAGCTTGATACCAATTTGGTGACCCCAGAGGGATGGAAAGCTTGGCGAGTCGGGGGTGCAGGATCGATTCCATGTGCACTGCAGGGTGCTTCTAACCACTGCGCTACACGCGCCCCACGACGCGAGTGCCAGAAATCGCCATTGTGCTAAAGAGAATCTAATCGAACAATAGCAAGCTTCATTGGGATCCACAGGTACTCATATTAAACTCAGAGGTAGAATGGTTCAAACATTTCCATTTTTTTATGATAATGGAGAACTTGCAAGGAGTATGAATGAATCTAGCTGATATTGTAGCAATGTTGGATGAAACGTTATGAGAACACTTTCTCTTACTTGGCTTCCACAATGGCTTCCAACACTTGATCTATACCAGTTCACAAAAAGTGTCGAAACTAGAGGCTTCGATTGCCATCGAAATAGTTTTATGTTTAGGCATTTTTCCTGTAATAGCTGTTTGTCCCGAGTATTCCGTGAATGAGGAGGAATACTCTCGATTCTGTGCCGCAGCGGACTCCGTTTTAAGACTTTCCATTCGAAATGGGAAATGCGTTGCTGAGTCTACCATGTTTAAGAGAAGTGGTAAACCCGTCAGAATGGTCTGCTTCGAAACGTTTCTTGATTCAGCTCTTTGCTACAATAATATTTACAGAAAATTTAGTGTGAAATATTCAAAGTTACCAACGATTTGAACATATCAAGCGAGAAGTTCGTGCCATCAGTGACGTCTCTGACACATAATGATCCTACTCAGTCTTTGGATAAAGAATTGAAATCCAGTGTAAGTGAAGAATCTCAGCACTACTCGATTAGATCCAGTAGCCTTTTTTTTTTCAGGAAAAAGAGCTTCCCACGAACTTACAACTTCCTTTCACGTCACCTAACAAACAGGCCGGTAAGCAGTAGTTCTTTAGACATTTGAAGTATAATGGAAAGAATGGTTAACGTTCCCATATAGTCCAATCAAATTAATGCTTGTTAAGACCTCATTAGTCTTCGAATGGCCGATCGAAAAGTTCGCGTTGGTGGTCAAATAGTCTATGTACCGGATAAGGAAGACGATTTTGACGACAGTGATCCCGATGATGATCTCAACTTGTAGAGATTACTAGGTTCCTATTAGAAGTCTTCATTTTAATTTTTGGCAATATCGAGATCTTCCTTTGACCTTTCAGCTCAGCCTATCACTGTTTTAGTCCGCTTCTTAATTCTTTCACCTCCAATGGCTGTTTTTCTGTCGACACTTTTCATATTTTTGCGTTTACGTCGCGGTTGTTTCATATCCTCAATACGTTTATCCACCTGAAACCTCAAAATTGTCACCACATCGAGATCGAGGAAGGGTACCAGCACACTTACCTCATCTTCAGGAACACCACTCATTAGCAGATCTTTGCGTAGGTTTGCCTCTTTCTGTTCACCAAAATTGTTTTGTTCTAGTCTTAGCTCTGCTTCGCGCTTGGCCACAAGTACTTTCGTGACATAACGAGTAACCTTCTGATCACTCACCTAAAAGTGACGAAAATTAAAAACAAAGAAAAGCCTCAAGCCTGAAAATAAAAGGAAATGTCCTTGAATGTTCCCTTATTTCTCAGAGTCTTTATCCCTAAAATTTACCTGTCGTATAGAACCACTGTAAGGTTTCTAAAAGAATGCGGTCACTCGTTATGCAATGAATCAAAACTGAATTTCTTGCTACGCCATCAATACCTTAAGCTCTTCTAATTTCATCCCAATCAACTGTTCTACTGCTTGAAAAAGAACCACATCGTACTGGGTAACGAATGTTAGAGCTGAGCCGTATCTAAACGTATCAACTGAGTGCATATATATATAAAATATATATATATATATATTATATGTCGTACAGCATAAACCCACCTTCCTGCTCGAGCTGAACGACCAACTCTATGAACGTAGGTTTTCGGAGACTTTGGAACATTATGATTCACCACTAAGTCAACCTTTAACAGTTCTGGTAGGAACCACTAAGAACAAACACAAGGTAGAGAGAAGAAAAATTAATAAAGAGGTGCTGCAACGTACATGAGGTATATCAAGCCCTCGAGAAGCAACATCAGTACAGATTAATATACGGAGTGTCTTTGATCGGAACGATGCCAGTGTCGCATTACGAAGACGTTGTGGAATTTGAGAATGAAGTGAACCAACCTAAACATTTTCAGAACATTGTATCAAGTATATCAACGAAAATTTGCAACCAAGGGCATATTACTTGAACAGCTGGATGGCCAGTCTTCACTGGTTGTGTGGACCCCAGCATTATTTCCACTTTTTCGGAATTTTGCTGGTTTAGCCATTGTGGTTCCCTGAGGTCCCGAGGTCAGCCGGACCGTCCCATGTTCTCACCACCACAAGCAGTCGCCAGCCTTGTGGATCAGACGGAGATTTGCCACCAAGCAACCAATTTGATACCAGGACGGTGGTGAATCCTGGTTTTGGTTTACTCTTAGCTGGGTTTCCTGATAGACACGCCGGACTCCTTCTCAGCTGGGAAATCCTGTTTGGGTGAAAGAGAGAGAGAGAGAGAGGGGGAGGGGAGGTGAATCCCCGTAGTGTACATCGCAGCTCGTCGACACCCAAAACACGTCTCAGCCACGAGAGGCAATAAACCGTTTGGAGGGTACTCATAACCCTATATTCCATTTTCGAAATAAACTTTGTGAATACCTTAAAACCGAGTGCATCGAACATGTACACCAATGCTTGGCACTCTCGACATGTTTGTGCAAACACAATCACTGAACTGTTCTCATTTCGCTCGCAGAAGTTCTTTACAACGTAGACCTTTGAAGCGAAAACATAGTATCTGTCTTATACAAAGGTTTTTGAAAAAACGGCTTCTAACCGTACAAGGTAAGCGTCTTTCACAGCAAATGGACATAACACAAACTTCTGCTCAAGCCGTTCGACGGTAGCAACCTCTTGTTTATCTTCAAAGAAGTACGGTTTTTTCACGGATACCTAAAGAAAGCAAATGTACAGGAATTCATAGGAAAGTATTGATCGGTCGCTAGAATATTAAACTCACTGAGTGAAGCTTTGTTATTGCACTAGTTATAGTTGCAGAAAAGAGGAGCGTTTGACGTTGTTTAGGTAGAGAAAACAAGATAGACTTAAGCTAAAATGCAGAAATTTCAACAGAAATAGCAAGTTAGAGGTCGGATTCGAAATTCAAATCAATAGGGATCTTGCCTGATCACCATATTGGCCATCAAGCATCCGGTCCGCCTCGTCAAGGACAAGGAACTGAATTTTTCTGCAATGCATAACAGTACCCAACAGTGAGCAATAATCAAGGACATCTATGGAAGCATACACAGCTAGCATTTCTCACTTGAATAGTTGGCCTAGTCCTTCAGTGTTACTTTCAATGTGGTCAGCAAGTCTACCTGGAGTAGCAACTACTATATGTGGACAAGCCATTAGCTCACTCGCTTGATCTATCTGAAATAAGTCATTAAGTTTTCCAGATATTCAAATTTTCGAAGGGAGTACGCTCTAGGATGGTCCAGAATCTCCTGCACGAATAATTCCTACGCACCAAGCTTCTTCCTCCAGTGATAAGAGATACTTTAAGAGCAATCGGCTTTCCGAATGCAACGAATTGGTCGACTATTTGTGAAGCAAGCTCCCGAGTTGGTGTTAGGATGAGTGCAAATATACCATATGGATCAACAGCAACCTATAATAAAAGGAAAAATAGAAACAGCTATTTCGGGGTAAAAAGAACTTCGTTCTATCCAACTTTACATTTAACACTTGCAAAAAAACTGACAATGCAAAATTACTTGGGAAGAAACCACCTTCTGAAGAATAGGAAGAACAAATGCAAGGGTTTTCCCAGTGCCTGTCTTCGCACAACCAAGAACGTCATTACCATTAAGAACTTGAGGTATACAGTTGATCTGGAACAGTGCCTACCTAGTGAACGAAGAATGACGAAATCAGAGGTACAAATATAAATATATACATATATATAAAGGACAAAAAGGATCAAACTCTTTGTGTTGATCAATTCCTTAACGATGCGTCATACATTCAACTTTATTAAGCATCGTTGGAGATAATTGAATGCATATCTGGCCCTTGAAACGTCTCAAGGTGACCCACCATGCTCCGTGGTGACGAACCAGCGCTACCGTCTTCTCAGATAACTCTGGGACCAATTTCCCGAACCCGGATGGATGGAGGGCGTGGTGGGCCATGGGTGCGGGGATCTATTCCACGTGTGCGTAGCAGAGCATCTCCGACCACTGCACCACATGGACCCTTGTACATATTATATGTATAGTGTATATATATAGTATATACATACATATACGTACATGTATGTATATAAACATACATATAAACAAACATGCATGAGTCCAAAACCAATGACAGTCACTTTCAAAAATATGTGCTGAAGTTCTCACGCACTTGTTCTCACACGAAATATGAGCAAGAAATAGAGAAGTAGAGAAAAAATCAGTTTTTCGCTTCTTATACACCGAAACGTCTACAAAAACAATCAGTTCTCTATGTAGCCATTTTTTTCGTCTACTGCTTATTCTTTTTCATGGCACGGTATGATGTGGTGATAAACAAGTTAGTCCTAGGGAAGGGTAATAACAGGTTCGATCCCTACCGCAGATACCTGCGGTGCGGAGCTTTGCAGATATCACAGGATCACTGCGATTATATTCCGAGTCATTTCTTATTATATATAAAATTTTGGAAAAAAAAAAATATAACGCCATAAAAACAAAGTTGTCTTGGTTGGAAAAACGGAGAATAATAACAATAAGAATAGTGATAGTACTAATAACAATAACAATGACAGTAATAATACCACTCCACATTAAACAAACAATTTGAGAAACCAACGAGTACCAGATATGAGTGTCGAGAGCTACCTGGACTGGTGTAGGCCTGAAGACTCTCATTACGTTAAGCTGCTGAATAAGCCAAGAAGTCACACCTAATTGCGAAAACGATTTTGTCGAGGATATGTCGGACACCTTGTAAACAGAAATATGGATAACAAGAAGGCTGAGTGATACTTTGAAAACCTACGGGTGCTACCAATTTACGCAGTTGATTCAGTTCTTCACCCTCTTCAACTTCCGATTCGCCACTACTATCACTTTCAGCGTCTCCCACTTGATCCTAGACAGCAGGTAAAAAACACGTCTCAATATTTACAAAAGAATATTTAACAACTATTACTAACATTTGACACAGAAGCGTCTCCAACGAACTCGGGCTTTTGTTCTTCCTCGTCTGAAGAAAGTATGGTGTCGCAAACAGAAGTCATCTAAAATAAACACCTAAGTTCATTACAGCAGACTACTTCGAGTAAAACGTCGTTCAGTGAAAGAGATACAGAGGCGTAAAACACATTCATCCAGAAAAATTACCAAAAAACGTAAGATTTATTAGAAATTAAAACGGGATAAAGACAAAGACATCTACAAAAACATTACTGGTTGTGGTATTTTTGAGATCATTCAGGCTTCCGCTGTTGTTGTAAGGCTTGAAGCTGTTTCTCCCTTATCTCCTGAGTTTCTTTCTCCGTAAGGAATCGAATATTGTGTTTCTCCTTGTGGGCGTTCAACTCATTTCCTTTGTCAACCAGCCTCTTGTTCAGCTCGTCAGAAAGACCTCCGAGCCGAAATTAAGCGGGTTTAGAGGAATATCGAAAAAGATCTAACAGTGTCATAGTAGTAAAATAAATCGAAGTCTAAGAGTATTACATTAAGAAGGTTCTTTTCCAGCACTGGTATACAATCCTTGACCGAATACTCAACTAGGGTGTCACTGATCAGTCGGAAACATCTCTGATCCCCATTCAACTCTCTTAACAGCTCTATCACTCGCCTTAAACAGTTACGATCACTAGGGTCGTAGACCAATTGAAACTAATAGTTTAAACTTCGAAAACACTGTACTTGGAACTTACCCGAACTCACGCTTCTCTTCTTCTATCCGAGTAATCTCCTGAGCGATTTCCTGTTGCTGTTCTCGAAGTTTCTGGAAAGTTTCCACGATTTTTCTCTGCTCTTCCTGCTCCGATGCTGTTAGAGTCGACATCTGAAGGGAAGAGTGTATGATTACTGCTTTATACAAACTGTCAAATACAAACTACAGCTGGTAGGAGAATTCCTCACAATTCTATTCATCCAGAGATTCCTACTACCTCTGAAATGAATACGAGACAAAGGAAAACGCAAAGAAAAGTGGAGACCGGAAGATACAAATCTTCGAATCAGAGATGGGACTAAGCAAGTACTTTTTTTCTATCTGTATAATCATAATTTTAGGAGTCCTGTAATCTATAACATGCCGTTGCCACATACTTCGTACTTTAAGACATATACAGGACTTAAAGGGGGCAGACTTTGGCTAAGCTGACCTCGGGACTTCTGGGAACGACAATGGCTAAATCAGCAAACCTCCGCGAAGATGAAAATTATGCTGGGGCCTGCACAACCAGTGAAGACGAGTCATCCAGGCATCCAAGTGAATGTATGACTCAAAGACAAGCTAAAAGTCATGTAACCACAACTTCTTGGACATTCCACTGGTCCTACTCAAACTTTTAAAGTATTTCTCCCTATATGGGTTTACCTTTGGTTAAACTTTATGGATGATTCAGGACTTCCATAACCCCATACAAGCTCAACAATTTAAACACATGTTGACCAGTCATACTGAGGTTAAAATAAAGCCGCTTTTTGAAATTTTTGGGACAATATTTTTCCCTGCATTGACTCACTTTCAATTAAACTTTCTGGATGAAATCAAACGATATCCTGAAAACATACTGAGATTACAAATGGAAAAAAAACTATTACAGCTTTTAGTAAATAGAAATGGAAAACACTATGGCACTGAAAGAGTCTTTTTAAAGATAGGCTTTCTTGAATACTTCATTGTCGGTGGCGCAGTTTTTAAACGCAATAGAGCACGTCATTCGCAGCTTGGCTTCGATTTTTCTTTTTTCTTTTTCTGCTGTCTTTCTAGTCTTCATTCATGCAAAGACTACTTTCATTTGCCTATTTCCTTTAACAATTACTTCATACGGAAACCCTCTCTGTATTCTTCCCATGAAATTTTTCACAAGTTCCAAAATAGAAAACTTCCAACGCAGCCACATTTTTGAAACCGTCACCGTTCGCAGCACTTTTCGCATTCGTATGTTCCGGATTTTTCTAAGACAAAAACTGGGCTACATATCCTCTGCTGTGACTGGATTGGTTTGGGTTAGCTCCCACCTTATCGACTTGGTCAGCAGTTGCAGTACGTGCTTTTAAGAGACAAATAGAATGCGTTCGATTTTTGACAGCTGCATTGGTGACAACGATTGGACTGGTTGGATTTCAAGCGATGTCATCTCATCGGGCATTTAGAATCTCCGAAACCTTGACTGAGCTGCTGTTTCATGTAGTTACATAGTAGATTTTCGAAGCTCGGTTGAAGTGATGGTCGCAGAGAGACTGCTTATGAATAAGTTGGTCCATTTGAGAGGTGGAAGATCGTTTCAATCCTTCTACGTACCCAGTTGCCTTCGTCTTTCACTATGAGTAGCTATATATTAGCTATATAGTATACACTATAGGTATTCATTGAACGCCTGAGAGAAATGGTTGAGAAAAAAGCAAAACAAGAGGCCTCGGTTGGTACAGTGGATGACACATGAGCATCCGGAAAGGGTAGTCACGGGTTCGAAGCCGGCCTGCGGTTCCGAGTATTGCTCATATCTCAGCAACCTTGTGGCTGTATCTCACTGGAAACCGTTAGTAAACAAAAATTGCTCGCCGTAATGCTAAAGAAACATCTTCTTGTTTTCAAAGTAAATCATTTTACAAAGTGAGTGCTACGAGACCTGTAGTAAAGCAGAAGCCTGGGAGAGGATCTCGACCTTCTGTTCTTAAGTTCCTGATACTTCATTATTCCCCAGTGATCACTACTGCTACTACTTACGCCAACAAATATAGACTAAATAATGAAGGATAACAAGGACAAAGGTCTCGGCGTTGATCACTACTCCCTAAGGAATGTGCTATGCACTCGACTTTATTAAGAATCGTTGGAGATGACTGAATGCATATCTGGCCTTGACAATGACTCGTGGTGGTCTACCGATGTATCGATCCAGGACTGCTATCGTCACAAACAAGTCTGGTACCAATTTGGCGATTCCGGAGGGATAGAAGGCTTGGTCCTGGGGCGCAGAGATCGATCCCATTTGTATTGCAGAGCGCCTCCAACAGCTGCGCCACACGCGCCTATCGACAAAATCATATCGTTATCGAATATTGTTCTTAATGGTGGTGATTTCGTATGTCCAGTAATGTGGCATCCTCGAATGGTCCATTCTAGTAGCTGAGCGTTCTTTATAAACTGTCAATATTATGTCCTTGTGCGCATCAAGAACACCAGGATTGAGATCCAGTGAGAATTGGGAGAGTAAGATCAGTGTGAATAATGTGGGATGCGATTAAAGCTAGACATTATTTCGACAATGCTACTGTCGATACTTAATGTGGTGTTAAATTAAAGCTTTGTAACGACATAGAGAAAGTTCTTAGGCCTAAGCAAGTCTTAGGAACTGTGTGGCAGCGCTGGAGGTGTTAACGAGTAAGCCATCAGCTATAGTTGTACAAAAAACTTAGATATTGGTCGAAATTGATGGAATGACGACTGGATTTAATTTTATTGCTGTAGAGGATAAAAAATAAAGCGTTCGTGGTTGACCGTAAACTTGCGAGTGCGCTATGAATTCTGTTCCATTCGTGGTATCATGGAGGTGGTTGAATTCGTATGTGGCCCATACAATGAATTACGGTGGTCTGTGAAGTCACTGTTTTCATCATGCTCATAGGCGAGTCTAGTATAAATTTATCGACCATGGTGGGATGGATGACTTCATTAGACTAGAGCACAGGATCCGTCCAACTACTCTATGTACACTGCAGGGCGCCTCTAACCGCTGCGCTGCACACGCTCTTACTGCTTACTCGGACGGACCGCCCTCACTGGTTGTGCGGGCCCAGCATAATGTCCATTTTTCAGAGTTTTGCTGGTTTAGCCATTGTATTTACCTAGAGTCCTGAGATCAGCCAGGCGAAACTCTGCCCCTGGTCGTAGCCACCACAGGCAGTTGCCGCCATTGTCGATTAGAGGAAGATTTGCCACTATGCAACTAGTTTGATACCAGGACGCTGATGGATCCTGGTGTTGGTTTACTCTTAGCTGAGCTTCCTGATGAAAATGCCAGACTCCTTCTCCTTCTCAGCCTTGGAGACTACCAGGAGATGAATCCCCCGATGTACATCGCAGCCCGACACCCAACATCTCTCAACCACGACGAGGCGGTAAACCGTTGGAAGGACATGCGCCCTTTGTGAGTATAAATTCGCAAACGTTCTCTAATGTTTGCAGTACCGTGGTTTTGAATTAGCGTTTCCGGAAATGGTCAATGAGTTCGTTTTTCAAAAACTGCTTTTGATGCCTATGAAATTCAGGTGACTTTTCTGGCAGTAGTTGTAAACGAATCGAAACTTAAATGAAACTGAGGTTTAATTACATTCCACAAGGGTTCACCCAAAAAGAACAAGTTGTCGTAATAAGGAAGAAAGAGAGATGACAAAGTAAAGAAGAGAGTGTGGTAATCATTCCAAAGGAAGAGGAGGTACAGGAAGATACTTGGGACCTGATTGCACAATTTAAATATTTCAAAAAGCTCAACAAGATCAGTTCATAAGAACACTTAAATGAATTTATCGATCATTTATGCTGGGGTTTATGGGAAGTCGGTTTTCGTGTTGTTTCAAAAAGGTTCAAATCATATTTTTAATCGATCTTTGTGGTGCCTCTTCCGAAGATGGTTTACAGTTTCAAAGACGGAAATCAATTTTATAATTTTATGACATGGATAAGGGCGCGTCTGGCGCAGTGGTAGGAGGCACCCTGCAACACACACGTGAAATCGATCGCCGCGCCCATGGCCCACGAAGCCTTTTATCCTTCCGAGGTTGGCAAATAGGTAGCAGACTTGTCTAGGAGGATAGCAGCACTGGCTCGATACATTGGTAGGCCACCGCGAGTCATTGTAAAGGCCAAATATGCATTCAATCACCTCTAACAGTTCTTATTGAAATCTGATGCATGGTGCATCGTTCACGGATTGATCAACGCCGAGAGCTTTATCTTTATTCTTTATGACATGGGTAAGATCCGTCTGGACGATTATTGATTTTTCATTTCACTGTTACATAGTTTTTCTTTGTAAAAACCTTTTCCATCCATCCTTCTCACCAATCTCGCTACGTTTTCACTTTTTTTAGGTCTGAGATCCAACGTATATTCATTCCTAAACGTCTATTAGTAGGGCTACTCCCTTTTTAGTACCATACTTCTGACGCTTCCCATTTTTTTTTTTGGCTTGATGATCATCTTGAACACTTAGATACTACTTTCCACACGTCGTGGGGTTGTCAGCAGTTCTTCCATTCGTCTCATCTTGCACCTTTCATCCACAGAGGCGGTTGGGCTCCTTTAGAGCTTCCACTAGAACTTATGCCTTTGCTTCTTTCTTTCATTATCTGGGCAAGTAATGCTGGGCAAGTATTGTTTTTCTGCGAATTCGAACTATCCAGGCCCAGGAGTTCTCAGTTCCTCACTTCTGGCCGTATCTAGCATTTATGGATTAGAGGTAAATTCGCTCTCTTGCCACACTAACTCTTCCTGAACGACAGCGAATCCTCCGATTAGTTGACCAACCATTCAAAGACGGCACAACATTCCTTGTTGACCACTAAACAGAGCAATAATCGATGTCGTTGTTTTCACGTTGATTTTACTTTGCAAAGGATTCTTTCTGCCTTGTTTACCGTCCGAAGTAGATAAAATTATAATTGTGCTAGTATTGTCGGAATTTTTCTTCCAAAGAAGATTACAAACGATGTAGTGTGGAAAGGAGATTTTCAGGTAGGTGACGATTCGTCACATATGTCCTGGTATATCGAGGAACAGCAACCGATTTATCTTGACCATAACGCCACCACACCACTCGATCCGTCCGTGAAAGCTGCGATCACCGAAGGACTAGAGCTTTGGGCCAATCCGTCCAGTGATAATCCTATAGGTGAGGTCCTCATCATGTATAAATGTATCATCATTGCGTTCTGACATCATTTCATAGTCTTGGTTTCAGCTTCGTTGGAAACATTCTATACCATTGTACTCGCATGTCTTTCATCTTCCATATCTTGATTTACAATAGGAGATGGAAAAACATTATGTACCAGTGTTTAATCAATTTTATAATGATTAGTTGAAGGATGGTAGTATGGTAGGATGTCTAGCAACAATCTCTTGTTTACTGAGTAAATAAAATTACACTTATTTCTTATGGTAGTTCATGAGGATGCTCAGTTATCAATCAATGAATGTTTTCCTTACTTTAACAAAGAAGTTGTAACGGGGGCGGATAGCATAGTGTTGGTTCGATCCCGCCCCAGGCTCACCAAGATTTTCCTTACTGTAACAAATGAGTTGTGACGGAGGCGGACAAGGATAGCACGGTTCTGGTTCGATCTCACCCCAGGCTCATCAAACCTCTCATCCCCACGGGGTGGGAAAATTGGTACGGACTTGTTCGGAAAAATCACTGCAATTTAGTTGTGAACGCTATAGCCTGGCTATCTCAGGACTCCAGAGAGAATCGACTTGATCGGTATTTTTCGATATTCAAGATGAAATGAAAATCCTGAAGCAGCAGCCGAAGCCACACACAAAAGTTGGAAGACCTTGGTGGATGCTAGATGTGAGAAAACAAATCGAATGTGAGAAGTGCTAGGATCCGCACAGTAGACGTGAAAACTGGTCGTATAAAATAAAATAAACTAATGTAAAATAAAATAAAACAAACGAGTTGTACAGCCATGTGGTAGTTATTGGTCAACCAGAGATATCCATGTACTATTGATCTTCTACTCTTTAAAAAGAAATTGTAAATGAAACTATTCAGCACAAAAGGCGAAAGAGGCAATCGAGAAAGCAAGGCAATCTCTAGAGAAGCTATTGCACGTCTCCAGCAGTAATGTTGTCTTTACTTCAGGAGGCACCGAGGTTTGCGATAACAACGTTTGATTTCTTCAGTAAAACATCAATTATGTTCGTTTCCACTTAGCATATGAGGACTAGTAATGTATTCAGGCTAACAACTGGGTAATTCAATCAGCTGTTGAACAGTTTAAATCGAATCCGAAACATTCCGCAGCCTTACCACATGTGATCTCTTCAGTTATTGAGCATCCTTCCATTCTGGAACCACTTCGTTATCTCAGTGGCAAAGGTTTCATAGGTAAAGACAAAAGTTTTGGTTCGAAATTTTCAGCGGTATAGCGGAGAATAAAAAGAAGGAAATGGCAGTTCTCTTTATGCAAGCGTGTTTTCCTCTTAGTTTTATAGGGAAAACCACCTATCTGCTTTAAATCTGTTCCAACCAACAGCACCTATAGATGCCTTGGGTATAAACGAGCAACATCGTGTACTTCTCTAATGAATCACCCTTTTTTCTTAGTCTGTCTCTATGAGAAGTGACTCCTTTTGAACGACAATAATTAGCATAAGTATAATTTTTAAAAAGAAACGAATTTTGGCGGGAAAAGTACGTAAGAAAAGGTCGAAAACTACATATTAGGATTGATTGCCAATTTTTATGAGATGTAAGGAATAAAGATTCGTGAAGGTGAAAACATTTTAACTTCAGTGTCGGAATCCATATCTGTTAGAAACTTTCACGAAAGAACAAAATATCCCCTACAACATTGATGAACTATTTAAAAAAGCGTCTAAAATGGATGAACTGAAGTCCAGAAATCAATGAAGTGCGAAGAAAAACACACTTCGGTACTGAGGACGAAGTCAATTAAAACATTCACATATTGTCTCTGAGCTCACTTTTCTTTTGTCAAACCATCCTTCCATTTCAGATCTCAGTCTTCTTCCGGTGAATACGACAACAGGTCAAGTCGAACCAGATGATATTCGTAGGCTTATGACTCCACTTACTTGCCTAGTTACGGTCATGTTAGCCAACAACGAAACAGGAGTGCTGCAACCGATCGCTGAACTCAGCGATGCTGTTCGACGAGCCTCCAACGAACATGGTAACCTTTAGACAAAATCCATCTACACACGAAATTCATCCGAGTGACAAGGCTGTAAGAAGCACTTAGTTGTAGGTCTCTCCGCGCTCTCCAAATTCACTACTAAAAGCTTCTTACAAGGGCTTAATTTTATTGATCTCTTCCAAACGAAAATTCGTGAATTTAACCGCTGTGATGAAAATCTGGTTGAACGAATGGAACTTCACCACTACAACAAGGCGGGGTTGTTTTCTCCTGTATGTCCTTTATTTCTAGTGCGAGAAACATTGAGATGATTTTTAAGCCATACTGAATTATATTTTATTTCCCATTCTATTTTCATCTCATCTACCTAAACTCGGAAGAAACATGCATTTATCGTGAAAAAATTGAATACTTCATGCTTTGAGTCTTTAAGACCTGAGGTTTTCACCTTTCCTCACCACGCATCGCCATATCTCTAATCGAAGGACGCTCTAAGGTAGTTTAGGTTCAAGTGTTTTCATTCACTCGGATGTGTGTCAAGCTGTGGGGAAGATTGATGTTAACATCAACGAGCTCAAGGTGGATGCAATTTCCTTGGCTGGTCACAAGGTTGTTAACTTAATTATTGCAATTTTCTCTAGAAATGGTACAGTAAGTTCGTGAGTTTTTTTAAGTTCCTCTCACCTTTTAATCGTTAATTCGACTCAGCTATTCATGGACATTAATTTCTGGTGATAATAAAAATTACAGTCGGAGGATGGTGGTTTCCTAACTACACAACTGTTTTAGGGGTCGTAAACATTCTCAAGAACCGAAGGTAGTGCCTACCTGTGCACTTCACTGCGCCATCGTTCTGTACTGGTTCCAATCACAGGTTCTGTGCCAAGATACCAACCAGTCTGAACTTGAAAAGCGATTCTTTGCATCACCGAACGAGGAAAAAACAATCATACATTATGGGGACATTCTAAGCAGAATAATTCTTTGCTATCAGATCAAGAATGGCTTTTCCAAAGCCTACAAGTCGAAGCACTTGAAAATTGCGTTGAAAACCCTTAGTTTTTCAAGTAAGAATTTCGGGTAGCATCACTAACGAGTTGCTCAGCAATAGAAGAAAACTGAAAGTTTATCCGACTTTAACGCATCTAACATTCAAAAGCGCTCTAGTCTAAGGATTTGCCGTCAGGATCTGTGCGACACCGTCCTGTATTTTGCCTTTTCGATTCGAGTTGCGATAAAAATCATGAAGAGAAGCATAACTTTAGGAAACTATCGTCCGATATTCTTGTTGGGTGTGCTCTACAAGGTTTTATCAAATGTTACTCTAAGGTGCAAATCAAAGACTTTATATGAGGCACAACCGGTCCAGCAAGCTGAACTCCGACAGGGATTTTGCTGCGTGGATCACACCCAAATCGTGCCGCCGGTAATAGAAGTCTGTCGGGAGTAGCGAATGCAATCCTGTCAACTTTCGCCGACCAAAAGGTGGACCCGTTCTGCATACGAACACTAACTGAATGTTAACGGAATTGCACCAAAAAAGTACAGGTTTTTCGTCAAACCCTTACCATACTCATGGCATAAAAGATTCGACAAGGCGACACAATATTGCCAAAGTTGTTTACTGCCGCACTGCAGTGGATAATGAAGTCAGTTGATTTGGAAGAGAAGAGCATACATAGAAAAATGATAAAGCTCTCTGCGTTGATCATTCTCTGAGGGATGAGCTATGCATTCGACTTCATTAAGCATCGTTTGAAGGTGATTGGAGGCACATCTGACTTTTCAATGACTCACGGTGGCTTGCAGATGTATCGACCTAGTGCTGTTATCCTCCCTGACAAGTTTGGTACCAATTTGCCGACTTCGGAGGGATGGAAAGCTTGGTGAGCCAGGGGCGCTGGGATCGATCTAATGTGTGTGTAGCAGGGCGCCTCGACCACCGCGCCACACGCCTCCATGAGGGATCACACACATATTGGTGGTAAATTCATGTCAAACCTTCGTTTCGCCGAAGACATCGTCATTTTTTTCAGAAAGCATCAATGAAGCGAAGAAGATGCTAAATGAACTCAAAGAAGTGAAAAAAAATTGGACCGCGCATAAATAGGACGAAGATTTAGTCCATGAAGAACGCATGATTTTTGATTACAGAGACCACTCTGTGCGTGTACTTTGCGTTCAATGAACAACATGAAGAAAGATAAAAAAAAGCTAAAGCTCTCGGCGTTGATCAGTCCCTGAGGGATGCGCCATGCATTTGACTTCATTAAGTATCGTCGGAGGTGTTTGAATGCATATCTGGCCTTCACAGTGACTCGCGGTGGCTAACCGATGTGTCGACCCAGTGCTGATATCGTCTCCCAGACAAGTCGGGTACCAATTTGCCGACCCTGGAGGGATGGAGAGCTTGGCGGGGCATGGACGCTGGGATCGATTCCACGTGAGTGTCGCAGTGGCACCTGCAACCACTGCTGCACATGCGCCCACATGAAGGAGTAATAAGGAAAAAGAGAGCGGCATGAACCGCATTCTGACCTCCCGAAGAATCCACCGACCAACCAGTGGATTTTGAATTGCGTGGTCACCTTTTTGACACAATAGTCCTCCTAGTGCTTTGTTGCGCAATAGAGATATAGACTGATAGATACCTCAACCACGTCAAAAACTCTGGACACCAGCCACAGCGCAACTGAACGATTTCTGTTGAGATCCAACCGCACTCATAACATCCGGCCCAATTCTTCGAAACCTATCCTATTTTCGGAATCTAGAAGGTGCATCGATAGCGAAGCACAATGGGCTGGCCACATAATAAGAAGAGCAGATGATAAATGGACGAAAAGAGCAGTGTAGTGGACTCTAAGAGGATGCAGGCATGCCCTTGCGAGACCACTGAAACGATGGGCGTGTTCATGAGTAACGTCAACCATCAGCATTTGCGAATGGGAACAAACCATTTCGGGACTACGGAATGAGCTCAGCGAACGTCACCATGTTCGAAGCAGAGCACTACAAAAGACCACGCTAACATGAGGAAGAAACGAATAGAAATTGTTTTAAGAGCCCCCAATAGCAGCGAAAACGGCTATCCAACTCTTTAAGTAGTCATTTGGCGCAGATGTGCTACATTGCTCTAAAGTTGGTTGAAAACTTCATCTAGATTTGCTTTCGACTACTTTTCTTGGATTTAAACTAGGAGAGAACTGTCTTGAAAGCCGGATTTCATTAAACTTCAACAAAATTAATCAGTTTTTTCTGGATTATTGAGCTAACACGAGGTTTATATGAATAGATTGATTCAGCTGACATTTCCGCGTTGCCGTCTCCTTTACAACCGGATTGATCCGAATCGATGGTACGTAAATGATCGTACTCGAGATGTGGGTGTTCGTTGTCGCGTTGAGTCAAATTCAGTGAAGTGGAGAATTCTGGAGTAGAGAACTTCTCTCGCTGGTGCCCTTTTATACAGGATGGACGTTGATTTATTACCGCCATCCAATACGATCTGCTTTTTTGGCTGGCTTTTTGGCAGTTCATTTAGTAACAATCCATGTTTCATTAGCTGGCACATAGCATAGTAACTGAGAGCGTGAGAACATCACAGCCAGCATTCTTCAAGCTGAAAACTGCAAACTACATTAGCTTTTCGCACCCTGTATAAGCAGCTTGCCTTCAAAACTTGAGGTCATCCTACTGATGAAGGAGTCCTCGTGGTTACCGTCCGGTTTGACTTTGACTATGCTATACGAACTCTTCACTGTTTTGCTATCCTTACAGAAAAAAGATGTTCAACATGGAGACAAAATTTCGCCTGTGCTGATCAGCGTGACACCGTAATGGATAAATTTGCACGATTGAGATGGCGTGCGAACTAATGGCAAATTATTACCGCACATTTGTCTCGGTGACGATATCACCGCCTTTTCGAGGAGTACCTGTAAAGCGTAAAGAATACGAAATAGGCTCCACGAAGGCTGAAATGGGACCAGACTAGACATAAATCGAAAGAAAATCTACCTTATTAAAATTCGTGGTGCGAAATGAAACAATTCACTTTCACCTCAAACTGATTCAATGACCTTACACAGACACAGTTATCGCCTATGTATTACTCTGTGCGGCTGCTATCCACCAACTAACTTAAATACTTACAAGAAATAAACGGCTCTTAAGAAGGCAAAACCGCCAAAACGTCAGTTATTGTATCCTAATAAATTCTATATTAACAACCTCGTGTCTGCTTATTGAAGAAAAACATCAATTCAGTTTAGATTATTCTTTGATCACAGAGAACAGATCGCCTATAGCGCATAGCGAACATAGAAAACAACGTGGATATTAGAAAACAACATTTTTCACTTGGTGGTTCTCCTAGGTTGCGTGCAGTTCAGCGGTCGGAGGCCCCTGCAGTACCCATGGGATCGATCTCCGCTCCCCAGGGCCATAAAGCCCTCCGGGTTCGGCAAATTGGTCCCAGACAAGTCTGGGAGGATAACAGCACTGGCTCGATACATCGGTAGGCCACCGCAAGTCACTGGATAGGCCAAATGTGCATTCACCACCTCCAACGATGCTTATCCCATTTCGTTCCAACCGAGTGAATTTTTTGTCCTCAGCAAACGTGAAACAACTTTGGTGAAATGGTGTCGCGGCACCTGAAGCCTTTTCTTATGGTCCTTGGAAGTGGTGTGTTTGGGTGCAGATGAGCTGGCGGTGATCTCTAATTTAATGTTTTTCATCAATAAGCAGACACGAGGTTGTTAATATAGAATTTATTAGAACACAATTGCTGACGTTTCGGCGGTTTCGCCTTCTTCAGAGCCTGGAAAGGTCAAATTGAGATGCGATCTACTCAGCCAAACACTTTCATAACCCTAGCGGATAAAACTTGATAAATCGATTTGTGTTCGCATAAGAAACAGCTTCATTCAAACACCTACCGTTTATTTGTCGTAAGTAT